TGCTGTTTATGAATATAGAGATTATTAGATGGAGCATTGTCATTGAGTTTAACGATCAAAACTGCTAATTAGTCCAAATTTAAACAAGTAGAATCATGAATGTATAGCACCCTTCTCTAATCTGCTCGGAATCTGTGCTAAAACCTTTTACGAGCCATTATTCACACGCAGGTCAGATAAGGTCATGTTTATTTTACACTGGAGCCTTCGGTGTCAAATATTGAGCTTGAAGTCTGTTCTGAAGATGATGATGATGGTAATAATTGTTGTAACAGTCATTCTGAATCACACTTCCTCCTTTGACTTCCACTAACTCTGAAACACATTCATTATTTTTAGTCGTGACCTGATGTTCACTTTTTACACCTTTTTGAACGTGGTTTACTTCTATAATTTTATTTACCATATGAAACTAATATATGGTTGACTCATTATACACAAAGAGCATTTGTTATAATGTGGAGAATCAACACAGCTTTTTAAATCATCCCCAAAAATGTGAATGTTTTGGACTTTTAGCCATAATCATCAAAGTTATAACAATGTTGCTTGTGGCACTTTGCATGTAATGAGTCTGTTTGAGGGGTGTCCAAACTTTTTTGTTCACCATAATTGTCCAGGGGCCGACAACATGAATTGTAAAACTCTTTCAAATCACAATTGGATTCAGTTTAGTTGTAATTTAACTACATTGGAATACAATTTCAACTATTCCAAATGGAGACACAAGGAGTAGAGAATGAAAAGTTGATTTGGGCATTTGATTTGACCACGTTTCACTGACGGCAGAGCACAGATCCACCTGGCAGGACTGAATACAGAAGAGTGTGTTTTTTATAACAAGCTACAAGTGTCATATGTCAACGGCAAAAACGCACAAAAAACAAAGGCACTCTTAATACATTTCTTTAAAGACATGTCTCCTTATACCTTTACTGAACCTTCATACAGGGACTAAACCACATTACACCTTCTTTACTCTTATGCCTGATGTTGAACCCTGAATATTTGCATTGTGTGGCGTAATCTTGATCGTAAGCTGCAGTTTTATCAGAAAGCAGCAGGTTATTGCAGCGTTAACCCGTATAAACAGAGCAGTGATGTGTGAGCTGGTGCCTGAGGCGATGGAGAGGTCACACTCTGAGCTGCCATTGTTCAGAGGCCAAACACTCTCTGGAGACTGGAGCTGTCAGAAAGTAAAGAGTGCTTTATTCAATATAAAATATGGCCATGAATGATTTAGGCCAGAACAGTCGGTTTTCACTTTTGACTTGATCAGTTTTTAACCATCTACAGAAGATGGATTTATAGATATCAGGACAGTTTAACTGGTTACGCCTCAAAGTATTGGGCTGCAGTGGATTTGATTTTTGTATTTAATAAACTCCTTTATTGTCTCCCATAAGAGGAATTTGTCTTGGGACAGGGTTCCCATGCTTTACATTTGCTCACACCACATTAAACATTAAACAGACCAAAATGGCCAAACCAAGTCCAAACCAAGGCCCACGGGCAAAATTGCGGCCCTCTTTGTTCAGTTTCATCCAGCCAACTTCAGCTTTACCAATAGACATGAGCTACAGTATACCTTTATATCCTCAGAACCTCTAGAATCCAGTTGTTGACTTATACAAACGGATAATTGTTTTTTGATTGGGTCATGACATTCTGAATATGGTACGGATGTAGCTGGTGAGATTGTAAACATTTGTCTTCAGTCAATACGAACATGCTACATCTCTAAACCAGTCAAAACCGTGTCGGTCACTGGACCTCTTTCTAAAACTATTCCACACCCTGATTTAGATTTTATAAATCTGGGGTAAATTATGCATGTATCTGCACAGTCTGTGTTCTTTACTCAAGTGAAACTCAGAAAATTAGAATATCATTAAAAAGTCCTTTAACATTTGTATACATTATACATTTGTTGCACATTTTATTTTTAATCATGGAAACATATATACTTTAAAACAATGTAATAATTGTAGACATATAAATAGTTAATAATAGATCATAGACATTCTTGAGTGTTGAAGGAATGCATTTGCTAGTGGGATGTCTCTTTTGGCATCCTACTATAATACAAGTACTGCAGTTGTGTCCATTGGCAAAAGACTATCATATATATTTCCCTGAACATGATTTTATGCATAATTTGTGAACGCTCAGTCAGTTCCAAGGGGTCCTTTCAGATTGCAGCTCCAAAATTCGGACTAAACTTGGTCCAACACATTCATGGTTTCAGGTTCAGACCAACAAGACTAAAATAGACTGAAACATAGACCCAATCACAACTGGGAACTCAACCTGTATCACAAAAGATGTCACGCCAACGGGACCAAAAAACTCTCATTGGCTGACATGGGAATGGCCAATAAGGGACGTGTGTGATCTCTAAATCTCTAAAACCAACATACCATTTACTTACCCAAAGCACCTTGAAACCACATTCAACATTACATAACCCTAAAGCTTGTCTTATGGCATCGATTCCTCCATAACTCCGCCGCCCTGGTCATGGCTCACCTGGGTTGCGTGTGTCCTGTTTTGTACTCAGGATTTGGAAAAGCTGACGTTATGTTTGGGACGGGGTCTGTGCTCTTGCCCCTCTGTCTTCCAAAAAGCTGCTGGATGGGCGGTGGTTCGGAGAGTGGCGCTAAGTTTGAGGAAAGCCAAACAGTGGGAACAATGAAGTCATGGAGAGAGAGCGAGAGAGAGAGGGGTTTGAAAGCATAGGAAAGAGCTCTGCCTGGATTTTTCCTCATAGGTGCCGTAGTATTTGGAGTGTGCTGTAATAAACTGTGTCATTATAGTGTAAATGGCTGACACTTGAGAATGCGTGGATGATGGATTACTCGAAGTTTGGATTAAAAAGCCACTTGTTCTCACACACGGGATAAACGTGCAAAGCTGAAACAACCCCAGTGTGTTTAGTTTAGACCCACAATGAAAAGGTCATTTTTATATAAGTATAACATCTCTCATTGTAAAGCTCATTCTATAGTCTCTCCCTCACCTCGGGTTATGTGTTTTGGGTGGTTTTTTTGGGTTAAAATGGGTAAAAAAACTTTACATGTAGATAAGTGGTTGAGAGTTGAGGTGAGATTGGTTTTATGGCAGGAGCTCTGAGTAGATTCCCTGCTCCTGTACGGCAAGACTTTTTGTATAGCACAGTTTAACTCAAAGTGCGAAACAACAAAATAAGAACCGAAATTTGAAAATCCTACAAAGACATTGCAAATCATAGACAAAAAACAAATACTCACAGTCCATTTAAAACACTGTGGATCAGTCTTTCCGTTGTTCAGTTTTTGTTTTGTACTTTTGCTAATGTATTGTGGTTTTACTGCAAATGGCAAATAAAATAAATATGAATCTAAACTTTTGTTCAGAAAAGGTCAAATATGATTTGCACATGGTCATGTATCATCTGGGGACATGTACTGTATATAAAATATGTAGATGTAGCTTTAAATGAAAATATTGCTTACTGTCTCTTTAAGGTATTTTCAAAACTAAAAAGTCCTGCTTTGTTCCTCTGGACTGTTTTAACTTGTGGTCTGGACTTCAGCACCAACAGGAAGTCATATATTCACAGCTGCACCAACCACAGTCTATTTAGATCTGAAAGAATCAACCGTCAGGACCCAAATCTGCAGAAATCCCAAAATATTTAGCCACGGGGCAGAGCTCTGTAGTTGCATAATGTTCACATGGATGTTTTGTTGGACAGGTTAGAGGAGCACACACAGCTGTACCCCCCACCCTTCTCCCCCTCTCTCATGTTAAACAATAAGGCTCTGGGTCAAAGTGGCTGCGGAGAGCTGGAGAACACAGGCATGAAACCCAGATACTGTTACTGGACACACACTGACATGTCACACTGTAGTAATGTGTCCAGTGAAAATAACTTATTCAGGTGGAAAATGACCAGCAAAGAAAAACATGATATTAAACCTGAAGAATGCCTATTGACGAACATGGGTTTCACTTGTCCATGTTGCAATATAGGGCTTTTACATGCAAGGTGACATATAATATTGTAATAAGAATCTGTCATATATTGGTCTCACATTATAAGTTGAATCACAAAAATAATTTCCCTGAGTTTCAGTTGTAGATTCATTATATACACACAATTTTCTTGGAATTTTTTTATTTTCCGAAATGACTTTCCCTTATGAAAGTAATAGTCTGGAGTTTGTCAGAAAAAAGAGAGAGGTACATGATTTAAAAAAAAAAAAAAAAAAATACCCAAGCCCCCTCCCCCCTTATTCTCTGATTGGTCTTCGCCTACTATTCTGTGCACGTGCCAGGTCTATGGGCCAAGACGTGCAAGGAGAGATTATCAATTCAAATATTTGAATATATTAGAATATTTAATCATCATTTGTTATACAGCTCCTCACAGCAGTAGTAGGATGCTCCATTGATTTTGAATGTAATTTCAAACGTTCTACCGATCATAATATATTGATAACGGACCTCTCAAACTAATAATGAGCCCTGCCCAGTTCCAGACTATCACTTTAACAATACAAGTTTAGTCCATTCATTCAAACATTTGAATTTTGTGGAAAATTACACAAACATTTTTGGACCATTTTCTTGCATTTGAAAAAAAATCAAATTCACTTCATCTTCTGAGATTCTTACACGGACAAAAAATAGTATTGAACTTTTTCATGATATTCTAACTTTGAGGAACTGTATGAAGGACATTAGACTTATATTTTCTGCTCTTTAAATCCTGTGAAGTAATGCACACCGTACACATGCGGCTGGTTAGACACACACCAGTTACACACACACTAGTTTATACTCACAGGGGACTGGGACTGGGACTGAGCAAAAGTTACATAATATCTTGAATTCTCAAATGGGACATGGTGGCTTCCGGTTTGTGTTTTTCCCTCATGTCGCGCTCTATGCTAATTAATACACTCCCATAAGTTTTGCGTCCTCTTCACAACAACACCTGCTGCTGCGCTCGTCCAATGCAGACTTCGCTCATTCTCTTTAGAAACATGGACGTGGCAAACATTAGAAATCTCCTGCAGAAAACCCATGCATCGATTTCAGCCAACGGCCTCCTGGCTAAGAACAGCGATGAGCTCAAACTTGTAAGTGCAAAAAATGCTGAATATGTTGCATTTATTTTGTGGGGTGTTGTTGGGTGGGGCTCTCTCCGCGCGGTGAGAAGTTTATAGCCACATCTGGGCGCTGTTAGACCCAAAATGTGGTTAAAATGTTATGGGTGCAAGTGGCTTTTTGTGTCTGGATCTAATGCAAAAAAAATGGAGGGCAAAGAAGACAAAACCAATGTTGTAAAGTTTGGTACATTTGTAGATTTTTGTTTTTCTGAAGTCAATGACAATGTTTTTGGGGTAGCTCCTTTTCTTTGTGTTGTGGGTAGTTTTTTTCATATTTTTTTTAAACTCATGTATATTATAATTTTCTTTATTTTCTCTGTCATTTGTCTGTTTTGCAACTTTTTCTTGATTTTTTTTCTCCCTTTTTAAATGAACAATAAAACGTTATAAATCGGTGATATATACCATATGACCACAATGATGATGCGGGACATTTATGTACATTTATGGACATCCACTCCCTATGGACCTCCTTTGTGTTTGTTATTATTGCATTTCCTGTGTTAGAACGGTTTGATTCCTTGATCTGTTGTCGGCGAATCGACAACTTTGTAAAGTCCTTCGAGACGACTCAAAGAAGAAAACATTTATACCTCAAAAAAACCATAGTACATTTGGTTAGAAATCCCTGTACACTTGCACTGGTTTATGTCACGATAATATTTTGGCGTTTGATGAATCTTTAGTCAAATTTTTTTTCCATTCATATTGACCAATCTAGAGTTGGGATTTTATTGTTTTCCCACACATTGAAACAACTGGTAGGACAAATACAGCCATCCATCCATTTTCTTCCCCTTAATCCATTTCTGGGTCGAGGGGTTGGCAGTCAGAGCTGCACCCAGTACACAGAGTACCAGCCCCTCACTGATCCTCCTGCAGGTGGTGAGTCCACAGGAGCCGAGATCTTCAGTGGGAGCTTCAGGCAAAGTGGGGTTAAGTGTCTCACCCAACGACAGTAGACACCAGTGGGAGTCGTGATGTAGGTTTTGAGGTGACAAATACAATGATGTTTTATTGCCAAACTTATAAAAACTGTCGAAGTGAAAGTCTAGTATCCATGAGCAGTGCTGTTACTGCTGCATTATTGTTGTCCGGTCATTTTGGTGTTTTAGAATCTCGACCTACAAAGTTGAGATTGTGATTTATCGATGTTTCTATAATCATACGGTGGATATTTGAAGCTGTGCCCCTCCTGCTTCTTGGTCTTTGCTCACTCCTCCCTGTGTCTGTGGCAGGTGGTGGGCACTGACGGTGTGCGGGCGATGATGGAGTCCGCCCTCACAGCCAGAGACCGAGTCGGGGTCCAGGACTTTGTGCTCCTGGAGAACTTCACCAGCGAAGCGGCTTTCATCGAGAACCTGCGCAAACGCTTCAAGGAAAACCTCATCTACGTGAGTCACAGAGACGTTCATTATGACCACGGAGTGGGAGAAGTTGGCTGAATATGTGAATTTGGTTCTAAACAGAGGTTCCTTACAACAATGATTTAGTTTTAGAATGATTTGAGCTTTTTCAGAGCAACAATATATTAAAGAAGTTCTATCAATTTGTCCTGAATGTAAATCTATACATTTTCAATGGCTAAATCTATACATTTTCATTGGCTATTTAAAATACTGTTATCAGGTTTATAGAAAGGACTAGAATAGAGGTGATTCTAATGAAACTCTTTCTAAATGAGTAAAGTGTGCATTATAATACACAAGTAAGAATGATGAAAAAGTCACAGCAGCAGGTGTGCATGCGTCTGAGGGAAATTTTAAGACAAGATTTAAGGAATACTACAATGGAGAGGAGGATGAACATTTAAAGTCACATCAAATAGATGTGTTTGCATAATTACATTACAAATATGACTAACTTTTAAGGATAGACTTCTACTTCACTTGGATTTTCCCCCATATTCTTGGGTTTCATATGACGTCGAGGCAGTGGGGCGAATGACTTAGGTGGGAAAGGACCGGACGTGATGTGACGTGCCCTGGCGGTGCAGTTTGCCGGTTTATACATGGAGATATAGTAGAAGAAGAAGTGCTGTCAAAATGGCATCTTTTTGTGCAGTGTACTGTTATAGAAATATTTTAGTAAAGCAATCTGAATTAACACCAAATAGATAGATAGATAGATAGATATATACTTTATTAATCCCGAAGGAAATTGTGCACTCGTCCCTTGCTCGCAATCATACAGCAATACATACATAGGTAAGAATTATAAGATGCAAAAGTTAAAAACGAGACAATAAAATACATTAAAAACAATAAAAACATTAAAAGAGAAGTTAAGGCACTGCAAAACAATTCTCAAGACACCCCACCCCCCTCCCTCCCCCCCCCTGCTCTCCTCCCTGAAGTGGCTTTGTTATAGAGCCTGATGGCGTTGGGGACAAAAGAGTTTTTTAATCTGTCCCTGGAGCACCTCAGAGAGAGGAGTCTGGAGCTCCTGGTGCTTCTCTGGCGGGAAAAAAATGAATTCATTTTATAGTTATGAGTGTAAGTTATTAACTAACAGTGAACTCTGGATTCAGATACAGGCCATAATGCTCTGTTGGCAGCAGGTCAGTGATAGATGGAGACGTGCTGCATCATGTCTTTGACCTGGGTCATAGAACAATATGTTCAGTTCAAAAGCAGATTGTTACATATATCAGAGTTGTATCAGCGTTAGGACGCGTAAAGAGAAGCCTTGAGCAACACATATCAATGTTGACTTCATTTATGTAATATCTAGAGTAGATATGTGTTTGTTTACTCTGGTCTATTTAATGTACAGTTATTTCCTCAATCGTGGCAGTCGATTTCAGACGGCTGCCCGGTGGTATTGGTATCGGTTCTGTTATTCATTGTAATTGTGCACATTTACTAATGAATAAACTCACACTTTGTTTGGAATTACAGCTCTGGGTTGTTTATGTTATTTTACTCTTGTTATGTGCAGAATTTCTACAACAGTACGATTGTAGAAACCGCGCAAATAGAGAAAAAGACAAGAGTTTCTTCCGTGTTTCAACTGTGGTCTTATATAAAGGAGTACACTTTGAAAAAATCACTCAAATGAGGCGGGGCGAAGTGGATCAAGGCTTTGCCAGACAAGCGCCCCCTGCAGGCCATCCGAAAGAAACGCAGCAATTTCTTCTGTTATATTTTCCAAAAATGCCCAAAATCAAGATTCTTTTGAGAAATATTTTTTAGTACTCCCTTAGACATGAGTGTCCCCGATGAAGACTGTTACATAAACTGTACACCGCACAGGATGAGAGCCTTTGACTCCAAAACAGACACGATTTGCATGGTTGGAAAACTGAGTTGTCCCACCTCTGCTCATTCGCCCCCTAAAGGCCATGTTCATGAAACCCAAGAATACCAATGCTTGCCCTGGAGTAAAACCTGTATCCGTCTGTTTTATCACCATTTCATTAGGACTCTATTTCCATGTATAATGTGTGTGTGTGTGTTTGTGTGTGTTTATTCAGACGTACATCGGCTCAGTGCTGGTGTCGGTGAATCCGTACAGAGACCTGGAGATCTACACCAAGAACCACATGGAACGATATCGAGGAGTCAACTTCTACGAGGTGTCCCCCCATATGTGAGTCTGCTGCGGCTGCTTTCACGGCAAGGATGAGACTAAACTGCCAATGGCCACTACTGCTTTTATAAACGTGGAGTCGAGAATCTAATATTTAAAGCTGGGGTACTGAACTTTCATCCGTCATATTCATCAATAATAATTTTTTTGTTGTACTAACATTTTGAGAAACATATCAAACCTGCTGGCTTCATTTTATTCTAACTTTTATTTAATTAGAACCTCTTTATGAGACAATGTTTGCCCCGTGAGTCTGTTTTTGATGCTTTGAGCTGATTGGCTGAGTGAGGGTGGTCCTCTCTTTGTTACTTTTCTGTCTGAAAAAGCAGAAGCAAAATATTCACATGAAAACTAGTGATGGAAAAGAACTAGAGCTAAGAACTAGTTAGATGGATTTTAGTACTTAGTTATTTTTTGTGGGATTTCTTGTTGTAAACTGGGCAAAAAATTATATTATTATAGATCAAGATAATAAAACACATTTATTTGTGTTTTAATTTGGCTACATTTGAAATTCTAAGATAGACCATACTTTGTACTAATCGAGAGGCTGAAAGGAAAAAGTAGCAACAGTGAAATTTGTAACCCCTGAAAATGTGACATCAGGTTTTCTTTCAGTTGTAGGAGTTTTACTGCAAACTATTTCTCTCTCTCTGACGACATCATGTTTGTGTGGGAACCTTTGAACGAGTCTGGCTGCTTGACTCATCATAGTCCGACTTTTCTCCTTGAATACGTGTCTTTGTGAAGCCGGACACGAAGCGTTTCTGACTCGATGCCATAGAAACGGTCTTGGGGATTCCCTTGTCATCCGCCCACACAATGGCAGCATTATGGATATTTAACATTTGGAGCCTTTTAAGCCTCCGTCGCATGAATAATGAAGTCTTTCTCTGTGCTACGGGACTTCAGATCCAGCCATAATGTTTTTTCTCCCACTCGGCAAAAATGCAAAGTAGATACACATAAGATTTCTCAAGATTAAAAATAAATAAAATACTTTGTCCAAGTTTAATCACAGAACAATCTCCATGTCCACACAGGAAGTAGTGTGTCCAAATGCAACTTCAAAGCAGTTCTGTTTCTGTGCTGAGGAATAAAATCTGGTCTCTATGTAAATGTACTTTGTTGTCTGGGGTTGTCAACAGTATCGAAAATTATGAAGTACTAAAGCTTGTATTGAAATCTGAGCGAGTATCGATACATCTATTTATTGAGCATTTTGTCACAAATCTTAAAACTATTGGAAGAACTGCTTTAAAACCATATAGCATATCAAGTATTATATTGAGTAAAAAATTACCATTGTCCAAAAAGAGAATTTATAATTAATAATTGTGGTATTGAAATTTTTTCCCCTTGTATCGAAATCAAGTTTTAAATTTACTAACATGACACTATTATTGACATTTAATATCGCAGGCAAAGGGTTAACCCCACACTATTAAAAGCTGCATCTATACATATATATATATATATATATATAAAATCAATCAGGTGGCCAAAGGAAGAGATTCAGACCACGGATGTTAAAACTCGAAAGCTCCTTACCATGCATGGCGGGTTCCATCCCAAATCCAGCACCCTGAGACTGTACGTAAGCCGTAAAGAAGGAGGCCGAGGACTAGTGAGTGTGAGAGCCACTGTCCAGGACGAAACATCCAAACTCCATAACTACATCATGGAGAAGGCCAAAACGGATGACGTACTCAGTGAATGTCTCAGGCAGTGGCAAGATGAGGAGGTGCTGGAGGAGAGCCCATCATGGGAGAATAAGCCCCTACACGGCATGTACCACCGGAGCATAACAGAAGTGGCTGATCTCAAGAAGTCCTACCAATGGCTAGAAAGGGCTGGCCTACAGGACACAGAGGCACTCATCATGGCTGCACAGGAACAGGCACTGAGCACCAAAGCGATAGAGGCCCAGATACACCACACCAGACAAGACCCAAGGTGTCGGTTGTGCAAAGAGGCACCTGAGACGATCCAACACATAACTGCAGGGTGCAAGATGCTGGCAGGGAAGGCCTACATGGAACGCCATAACCAAGTGGCTGGCATAGTGTACAGAAACATCTGTGCAGAGTATGGGCTGGAAACCCCAAGGTCTAAGTGGGAAACTCCTCCAAAGGTGGTGGAGAATGAGCGTGCAAAGATCCTGTGGGACTTCCAGATACAGACCGACCGAATGGTAATGGCGAACCAACCTGACATCGTGGTGGTAGACAAAGGGCAGAGGACAGCCGTGGTGGTGGACGTGGCAATTACAAACGATGGGAACACCAGGAAAAAAGAACATGAAAAGCTTGAGAAATACCAAGGTCTCAGAGAGGAGCTGGAGAGGGCCTGGAGGGTAAAGGTGACAGTAGTGCCCGTGGTGATCGGTGCACTCGGGGCAGTGACCCCGAAGCTAGAGGAGTGGTTACAGCGGATCCCCGGAACAACCTCGGACATCTCGGTCCTGAAATGTGCATGTGCAAAAAAAAAAACTTATATATATCCACACAGTGAAATTAGGAACTTAAAATCCATCTATTGACAAAAAGTGTAACTATTACAATCCATTCTTCTCCTTGCTCTCAAAACAGTTTGGTTCTATCACTAGTTTTCACAGGTCATGTCAGCTTTTCCGACAGAAAAGTGGGAAAAAAGAACACCACCCTCCCTCAGCCAATCAGCTCTCAGCTTACAATATGCCACAGATCAAATGTTTTCTAAATAGATAAAAAATAGCATGTTGTGGTCTGGTTTGGTCACAACAATGTACTATCACAAAACTATACCCTGCAACAGCCAATCAGCTCCCAGCTCAGAGCAAGTGTGCAATAGTTGCCCTAAAGATCTGCGTTAAACAAAAAAATTGGGATGAATTTTCAAACCAATTCATTTTCAGTGGCTACTAAACCAATTAAAGACTTTCTTCCCTTTTAATTCTGAGTGGAAAGAAATGTGTGATTTGGCGAGAGCAGCAGAATCTGGGAATGTGAGTGGAAAGGAAAGTATAAGCAAACGCCGCTGTTGCCTCAGAAGATTTTCCTGGTGAAAGGGAATCCCCCGCCCTCAGCCTGACCCTCCACATCACACCGCTCTGTAGATAAAGAATATACATCGTCAATAATATTTTCCTTATGTTTTCAATGTGGCTGTTGAGTGGCCAAACCTGCTCTGCAAAAAGTGATGAAATGTGGGGTAATTATTGCGTGAATTGAGTGGTTTTTATCTTAATTTGAGTTCATTCTGACTGTCTTAAAACAAGATTTGCCAAGATTTGCATTCCAAGAGAGACATTTCTTGTATCTTTTCAAAACTCAATCATTTTGCTTTGTCCCGTTGGCAAATCTTGCTTTAAGGCGGTCAAAATGTGCTCAGATTAAGATACATTATGCCAAATTTGAGTGATTTTTGACTCATTTTTCATCACCTTTTGCATGTGTGTGGCTGTTGAGTGGCCAAACCTGTCAGCACTGATTATAGAATGTGTTTTGTATTGGTTGTAAATATAGTAAGCCCTAGGAAATGAAAATGTAATTGATGTAGAATGAATGTAGTAAATGGTTAAGTGTTGTGTGGTTGATAGAAAACTGATGGAGCCACTTTCACATTGTATATTGTAATTTATTTCTCTCTAACCGGCACTGCAGTTTGAAACTATCTATCTAGCTATAAAAATATCTTTATGAGCTTAATGTCTCTGTACACTTTCCCTTCAATAAAGATGATTAAAAATTGATCCATCTAAAAATTGGTCGGTCCTTATGGCCTAAATCGTGATAAGTAATGCAGTTGTTTTGTGCCTCTGGACTAGACTCTTCTCTCACTCTTTTCTCACCATATTTGTGATTGCGGTGAGTGAGTAATTGCTGATGGTCGTGACGTTAAGCCGCAGATAAAGCAGATTATTGTCAGATGTCAGTGAAACACGGGAGCCGTAGACAGCGGTCGGTCGGGTCATTGAGCACAGTTTTGACCGATCCATTAGCCGCGGTATCTTTCTAAGGCTTGCAATATTCTTCCTTAGTCTATCTTGCTGCAAGAGTTCAACTCCAGTATGTCATTATTCAGGAGAAAAATATTGTTCATGGGTGGTTTGTCAAACACTTTATTAGAACGCCATACAGGAGGCGCATGCCAGATCTATTGTGCATGTTTATTTTATGGTACGGGAAACCGGAGCACCTGGAGGAAACCTACGCAGCTGTGCAAACTGCACTCAGAAAGGCCCTGTTCCAACTAGGATTCGAACCCAATGGAATCCTGGTTGGAAAATTGCTCATATTTGGCAAACTGTATCTTAATTTTGACTGCCTTAAAATGATCTTGTTTGAAATAGATAGATTAGACAAAACAAGCCAAATGGAAAAAAAACATGTAAAGACTCAAAATAAGATTAAAAACAGCTGATTCAAGCAACTAATTTAATATTTTTTGTCATCTTTTTTTTTTTTTTTTTTGCAGTATATTGATAATAGCTGAAGCACCACTAATGCCCCATAGCTAACTCCTCTGTAATCCCAGCTCACACTCTCCACTGTACAGCCCTGGTCCAAAAGGGGAGTGTGTTTTTTTATCTGGCTGTAATTAGTCCGGTGTCAGAAAGTCTCCACACGGGCTGAAACAACAGCGCGGCCCTGATAGCGTCTCCCCGCTGATAGATGAGAGCGTAACTGAAGCAGGCTGCGCTCCGGCCGAGGAAACTATGATTCAGATTCGTCCAGAGCTGGGGTCAGAACACGGAGCATTCCTGCCGTGATTCGTAGACAGCTCCATGATTCTGCAGAGGGGGAAATGGATGTGTGGGATAGACTGACTGCATCTCCTGCTTTCCATCTTACTCTATACACAAGGCTGAGATCCTCTGTGACAAAAGAAACATGTGAGATGTGTATTTTACCTTATTCATTTGACCCGCTGCGAGCAAGCTGATTGAGTATAATATCTGATGAGATTTGTGTGCTTTGGTCAAATCAATCCTTTTCTACACAAATCACAAATCACAAGCCACAAATCACATAAAACAAACAAAAAAAATCACCCTTAAAATCACAATTAACTCATCGACTGCCCTTGACGTATTTGTCTGAGACCGGTGATTTCTGTCAAACTTCCCTTTATTCGACAGAACAAGTGTGTTTCTAGCTAGAACCAAACTAGCTAGAAACAAACTTATTTTTGCCGATGAAAGTTGACAGTCCAGTCGTTTAGAATCTACATTTCACATAATAAGTCATAGCACACAGTTTTATGTTGGTCTTGAAAATCAAAAACGGCTGGTAGTCGATGAGTTAAAATCACACAGGTAATTAAAACCCTTAAAACATAAAAATTGCATGAGGGATTAAAATAGTAAATAACCACAGTGCATTCAAAATAGAGACAGTATTATTTCACTAATTCACACATTTTTTCAATTATAGGTGAAAGAATAGATGGACCCTGAAACTTCATGAGAGATAGAGGTCAACTACAATCAATAATAAAAATGAATGTATAAGAAAGATGTGAGGAACAAAATTGGTCTCTTTTCCATAGGGCATAGGCATTTTAGTATTCCTATGGTCCAGTGGGTAGGATTGGGCACCCCCAGAGTTTGATTCCTGGTCAGAATTAGGGGTTGGAACCTCAGGGTACCTCAAGATACAATACGATACGCGATACAGAGCTCACGATAACGATTATTTCACGATATGACGATTATATCCCAATATGACGATTATCGATATATTGGTCAGAAATATACTGTTATAGAAATCTTTTAGTAAAGCAATCTGAATAAACACGAAATAGTTAAAAGTGTAAGTTATTAACAAATTCTCAACTCTGGATTCAAATACAGCACATATTGGCATATTGGCACATAACCCTAACCCTAAATACACTTTATTTCTTATTTCATGATAAATGGAATGGAGATGCATAATGTAGCCATATATTAAGTATTGATGCTAATTTTTTTATTTTTTTTATTGATACATCACAATATCGATATATCGTCACACTCCTAGTCAGAATTAGCCTGGCCTTAGCCATCCGTACTCTCCGCTCAATCATCATTTCACTGCATGTAACATCTGGGTCTGGTCCCTGTGTTAGCGATTACAATGAATGTTCTGGATACCGTTGCCCCTGTGAAGGTTAAAATAGTGAAAAATAAGCAGAAGGCGCCGTGGGCTAAAGCAGACTCGGTCAGGGCACAAAAGAGAAAGTGCCGGAGGGCCGAGCGGAAGTGGCGCAAGTCCAACCTCCAGGTTGATTACGAGATCTTCAAAGATAAGTTGTGCGAGTTTAACCGGGTGCTACGTAGTACGAGAGAAAGGTATTTTTCTGAAATGATTGAAGGCTGCAGCAACAATCTGCGTGTTCTGTTCCCAACAGTTAATAGATTAACAAACCCCCCTGTTCAAATGCCATTAGAGCTTACTTCCAAACGTAAATGCAATGAGTTTGCTCATTTTTTCAATGACAAGGTTCAAGGCATCAAAAACGCCATTGTCTCCAATCCACAGATAACCATCCAACAGCCAGAAAGGCTCTCTGAGCTAACTCACTTTGCACCTGTAAATGATAAAACTGTCCAAGATATAATCTCCAGTTTGAGCTCCTCCACATGCAGCCTGGATGTACTACCCACTAGATTTCTGAAGTCTGTTCTGAGCAGTCTGTTACCTTCACTCACACAGATAGTAAACATGTCCCTTCATTCTGGAATATTCCCAAAGGCCCTGAAAACTGCAGTCATCAGGCCCCTGCTAAAAAAGAGCAGTCTCGATGCTACGGTACTTAACAACTATCGTCCCATCTCAAATCTGCCATTTATGGGGAAAGTCCTTGAGAAAGTTGTCTACCTACAGCTTACTAGATTTCTTATAATCAACAACTCATTTGATATGTTTCAGTCCGGCTTTAGACCCCACCACAGCACTGAGACTGCTCTCGTTAAGGTTACAAACGATATCCGGCTGAACACTGACGCAGGCAAAGTCTCAATCTTAATCTTGTTAGATCTAAGTGCTGCCTTTGACACTGTCGACCATGAGATCCTCTTACAAAGACTAGAGGACTGGGTTGGCGTCACTGGCACCGCCCTAAGTTGGTTTGGGTCTTACCTTGAAGACAGGAAGTACTTTGTGGAGATTGGAAACTGTGTCTCAGAACATATGGCCCTGACCTGTGGAGTCCCACAGGGGTCGATCCTGGGACCTCTTCTGTTCAATCTCTACATGCTGCCGTTAGGTCAGTTAATACGCAGAAACAAAGTGTCCTATCTTAACTATGCAGACGACACTCAGATCTATGTCTCACTGACTGCAGGAGAACATGGACCAGTGGACTCACTCCTTCACTGTATCCAACAGATCAGTGAGTGGATGCAAAACAACTTCCTTCAGCTAAACGCAGACAAAACTGAAATGATTGTCTTTGGTCCCCAGAAACAAAGAAAGAGCGTCATCTGTCACCTACAGTCTCTCTCCCTAAAACCTTCAAACAAGGTCAGATATCTAGGGGTAATGCTGGACTCAGACTTAAATTTTAATAGCCACATCAAATCAGTAACATCAGCAGCTTTCTACCATCTAAAAAACATTGCAAGGATCAAAAACATAGTGTCTAAAGCTGACTTGGAGATTCTTATCCATGCATTTGTCTCCAGTAGGTTAGACTACTGCAATGGCCTGCTCACAGGTCTGTCCAAACAGGCTGTATAAAACAGCTGCAGTACATTCAAAATGCAGCAGCTCGAGTCCTGACTAGAACCAGGAAGTACGACCACATTAGTCCAGTTCTCAGGTCTCTGCACTGGCTTCCTGTGGCTCAGAGAATAGACTTTAAAACAGCTCTGCTTGTGTACAAGTCTCTCCATAGCCTCGCACCAAAATATATTAGTGACATGTTAGTCCCATATGAACCAGCCCGGACTCTGAGGAGCACAGGGACTGGACTCCTGTTAGTGCCCAGAGTCAGAACTAAACATGGGGAGGCTGCTTTTCAGATTCATGCTGCTAAAATCTGGAACAGTCTTCCTGAAGATGTGAGACAGGCCTCCTCTCTGACAATGTTTAAAACCAGGTTAAAGACAGCTCTGTTTAACTGTGCATACAACTGACGGATTTTATATTTTTATCTATCTTTTTAATGTTCTGTGATAATCTTAATGCTTTCTTGTTTTGTTCAGCACTTTGAATTGCCTTGTGTATGAATTGTGCTATATAAATAAACTTGCCTTGCCTTGCCTTGCCAATCAGTCGTATTTTGACCGGCTACTCAGAGAGCGCGGAAGGCGGGTGTTGTAGATCGGTGCCGGTGACGTCAAGAGTTTGCGCCGAACGGGCAGGTTGTAGTTTTAGCAATGGCGAAGAATGCGATGGTAAAGTAATCCAGTCTGGTTCTATCAAGAAATTGAAGCAGGAGCAAGAGGAATGTTTAGCAAATGTAATCGCTGGTCAAGATTGTGGCGCTACTCCCCACGGGTTCCGTTAGCAGCAAAGGAGATGGCTAGGCTAAATGCTAAATGCTAATAACACACTCGGGCGCACTACATACGTCACGGTAAACTCAGATCCAATTGTTTCAATCTGTAAAAGGAGTTAACCCCTCCCACCTGTTCACGGAGCTCAATGGAGCAAATCCAGACCTTAGTACAAAATGTAATTTGTACTAAGGTGTGGAACAACCAGGCTAAGTCAGAATGTGAATTTTTGTATTTATTTTGTCTTTTCAGTTACGCAGTGGGCGATAACTCGTACCGCTCCATGAAGACGGAGAGAAAGGACCAGTGTATCTTGATTTCTGGAGAAAGTGGAGCTGGAAAAACTGAGGCATCTAAAAAGATCCTGCAGTACTACGCTGTGACGTGTCCCGCCAGCGACAAGGTCCAGACCATCAAGGACCGGCTGCTGCAGTCCAACCCAGTCCTGGAGGTTAGCATAATTAGCATGGTTATTATAGTTTTAGCTTGACTTTTTCTACTAAGCATCTCCCCTGTTTTTATCTTGTTCTTTGTGAAGCGCATTGAGTCCTGTAGGAATTATGCTATATAAATATGTAGTCTTCTTTTTCTTGTCAGTTCTTATCTGGACACATATCATATCGTAATTATAGGTACACTTTTGTGTTGCAACGTTACTATCATTAATGCAGGTGTCCCCGAAGTGTTGATTCCTTTTTCTTGCAAATCTCTCTTATAATACAATACAGGAATAAAAAATGTTTTTTAAGATATCATTGGCTAAAAATATCACACCCATTTCTACTTGTTTTTTATATGAAATGTTTGCTTTTTCCAATATATCCATCATTTGTTTGCCAATATGTGTTGTTTCTTGTCACAGGCTTTTGGTAATGCCAAGACTCTGAGGAACGACAACTCCAGTCGCTTTGGAAAATACATGGACATCCAGTTTGACTTCAAGGTGATTTTTTGAGACAATTTAAAACTATGTTCTTATATAAATAGGAGTCACCTTGCCTCCCTGCACTTAGAATAATGTTGCATTCTAGCTGTGGTATATCAGTATCCTGTTATTCCCAAAATATATCAGCACCTTTAACATTGTACCTTTGACTGACTTGTTCTGATCTCTGCCTGCAGGGGGCGCCAGTGGGAGGACACATCATAAACTACCTCCTGGAGAAGTCTCGCGTCGTGCACCAAAACCATGGAGAGAGAAACTTCCACATCTTCTATCAGCTGATCGAGGGCGGAGAGGAGGACCTGCTGCGGCGGCTGGGGCTGGAGAGGAACAGCCAGCAGTACCAGTACCTCATCAAAGTGAGTTCAGTCTGAGGAGACCAAGGCAAAAGACGGAGGCAACAAAATGAAAATAATGGGTCATAATGAAATGTATTAAAAGTGGGTAGGCAGCCTCTGGGTCAAATAATCATCTTATGGAGCCATTTTCAAGGGATGTTTAAAAAAAAATAGAAATATGTTTACTATTTGTTGAATATATACTGTATTGTCTTAACACTAGATTTGTGAATGACTCGTGTGTAAATGGATAGAATGGTGAACTGAAAATTCAACAAATGACTCTCTTGGAATGAGACAAAAGATGCTAATTGTAAATGCTGCTCAATTCAAGCAGTTATTATATCATCTTACTAAAGAGTGACAGTTTTTCCCAGTGAAAGCTCAGTCTGATTATGGGATCACATTATGTCTACTCAAGATTAATCTAAAAAATCTAATAATAATTGTAGTCTATCTTCATGAAAAATAAGTGGATGGCAAAGAAGTCTGGGAAATCCAGATAAAGTCTGTTATTCTGAGAAAAAACTTGTTTTACTGTTGTAGTAATCATCGTTAGCACTTTTGTTTGTCCATGTTCTCAATAACTTTTGGCTTTTCTTGTTTAAGCGATTACACTGTTCCAATAATCGGGAAAGGTCTTTTTGAAGCCCTTCAAATCCAGAGCTATCATTTTCCTGTAAATCACTCTGGTGTTAACTCTACTCAATATTTTCTGAATGACTTGGCTCAATAGTTTTTTTTTAGATTTTTCTCTAACCTCTCTTAATCGGAGAGCTACTATTATACAACAGAACCTTTTGAAACAGAAACAGATTACCTTTTGTAGTCGTAAAAAGCATCTATTTAATAACTATGAGAAAACATGGAGAACACAGATGTAAATTATACTATCATACTGTATAATCCTGCATTAAATATATATTTCATCTACAGTTTGGAGACCCCTGGATTAGATCACTTGTACGGCTAATTATTGACTCTGTGGGCTATTTATCTGTTGAGGTGCAGATGTTTTAATCATTTTGTGCACTTTAAAAAAGGATAAAGTCATTTTATCATCTGCAAAAGTACTTTCAATTTGAGCATTTCTCGCAATATCACACCGAAGCTATTAATCGTTCTTCAAAAGCTGTTTATTGTGACATACATACCCATAAAGAATAAGCACATATACTGTACACTGAGCTGTGAATGGGTTGTTGCCTTCCCCAGTCCTAGTCCAGGCCCAGTGGGACTTCTGGTCTCTCAGTTAGACTTTTCCCCAGGGGCTAAACGCTGCCTTCAGGCTCCCTCTGAAAACACAGCTTCACCAACACACACCAACTGTTACGGCACCGACACAACACTTCACACGTGTGTCAACAGCCGTTTACATGTTACTGCTGTTTACGGGACCTGCTGCATGTGTTGATCACTAAAGAACATGGTGTGATGTGGTTTGACACTTTTATGACCTGCTCCAAACACACACACTCAGCTCTAGTCAAGTTAAAGAAGATGCATTATTTTTGGCCATAAATAATAATTAGTAGTTTAGAATTTGGGGTTTAATTTATTAAGGGCAATTATGCAGTTACATTAAAAAAGATGGCTCCACCAGACTTTCCAGCTGTAGTCCTTGACAATACAATCATATAACATACATATTCAAATATAGTTCAATAAAAAGTGCGAGTTACAAGCATACATATTAAAATACTATATACTTGGTTATCTCATATTTTAGAATGTGAAATAATAAAGTAGAGGATATAGAAAGATGATCCCCCATAGGAGAAATTCAGTTGTCCAGTAGCAGCAGAAACCCTTGCATGCATACAAACGATGGTGCTCAGGTCACAGCAGCAGAGGCGGAGGTGCCGCTTGGTCCGGACCATTGTCTTTGCTCTGGTCCAGAGTAAAATGCTGGATGCTTTATTAGCATAAAAAAAAAAAGAAGAGGATTCCTACAGTTGATCTATGCTTGATCTGCTCTGGTCTGGATCAGTGTAAAACCATAAACACTGTCCTGTAGTAACAATTACAAGTAAGCGACAACAACAAAAAACAATTGTAAATTACAAATCTGTTGCAGAGCTACTTAGGACTTTCTGTCTTTTCCAGCGCATTAAAAAGTAAATAGTTAAGTATAACATTTTTTTTATTTATTTTTTTTTCAAATTGGGGTTGGGGTTGGCACGGTGGTTAGTCCAGGGTTCATTTCTGCCTCCAGACCAATCTGTGTCATGTTCTCCCCGTGTCTGCATCCCCAATCCGTGTATTTACATTGCAAATTGATTGTTGACGTATTATGTGAGCTTTAAAGTTTTGAATGTTTTCTTTTAGGGAAATTGTCCCAAAGTGAGCTCCATAAACGACCGCAGCGACTGGAAGATGGTGAAGAAAGGCCTGACAGTGATTGGATTCAATGAGGACGAGATCGAGGTGAGCGCTCAGGCGATTTATATATACAGTACAAATGATCATATTACTATTAGAATTATTATTGATATTTCTCTTTTCAAACCATGCACATTGCACAGGTATTTTTATTTACTTCTATTATTCTTTTTCAATGACTAATTATGTGTATATCTCATGCATGTTTTGAAATAAATATAACCATAATTCAATTTGTTTTTTAGATTGATCTATTTCTTTCTTTTTTATAACTTGTTTGCTCCTTCAGCCAAATCAAATTCCTTGTTTGTGACTTTCTGTGACTTACACTGGCAATAAACATCATTTTGATTTGGATTCTGAAGCGAACAGTGTTGAGTAGTTTGGCCGCTGTTGCCTCAAACCAGCAAACTCTACGATCTTTAACACTAAAAAGTAACAATTTAAGGATAATTTTTGAGGATAATAAAACTGCCTGACCAGAGCCAGACAAGGCCAGGACCAGAGAGAGAGAGATAGAAAATGTATTGATCCCCTGTTGGAGAAACTCAGGTGTCCAGTAGCAGCAGAAACTCATCCATCCATAAAACAAATAAAACATAATTCTAAAAGTAGCTAACAGTAGTAATAAAATAATAACCAGAACGGACCAAATGTAGACCACCTGCCTATACTACACTGTGAGGGCTTTGTTTAGATCAGTGTTTTTCGGCACACTAGTGTGCCGTATGATATTGTCTGGTGTGCCGTGAGAAATTCGTCTACTTTGTCTAAAAATAACTGCATTCGCTGTTGACGAGCGGTGACTTGTTTTGAACTGTGAGTAACCATGTAATACTTTTTCAAATCAGTAGATGGCAGCAGATAGCTAAGTACTTTGAAACTGAAAAATTGGATGCGACCACTGGCTGTAACAGGTAGTGGGAGCATTGTGGCGAGAAAGGTAAAATTGGATGCGACCAACAAATGTGGGAGGGAGCGAGACAAGAGCTTTGTGGCGAGTGAGAAGTGAAAGTGATAGAGACGTTTTTGAAAATGAATTATGCCGTTTCTGAACAGGATTAACATCCTCCGCTCTGCCCCGGGGCAGCTGTGGCCGCGTTGTAGTGGTTTAACTATGAAATGTACGATTTTTGTACAACAGCTCTCGCGAACGCACTTCTGAACTGGGTACCGAGCGCAGACCATAGTCGAGTGGACAGAACCATAGACATGCGGACCGGACAGAACCATGGACTCGCGTTCAGGACCTCCCGTGTCCCTCATCCAAAACTCCTGAATTTAAAGCTCGGATACCTACATTTTTCCCATGCACTAACAATGCATGTTCTTTGTGTGAGTTATTATTTGACTATTTGGGCAGAGAGTGGATTTTCTTAGTTTTTTTCCACACAGTTAGTGCCACTTTATTACCAAACTCTTGTTAATTGTATCGAGAAATATTAAATAAAGCTTAATTTCAAGGCCTGGACTTAAGCATTTTGATGAGAATAACTGTATATTGTGAATATAGGCTACAGAGTATACTGTATACATTATAAGATAAGATATACTTTATATATCACACAGAGTATGTACAGTATATATTTTTTTACATTAGTACTGTATACATTTTTACATTTTCTCCTGGAGGTGTGCCGCAAGATTTTTTCAGTGAAAAAAGTGTGCCTTGGCTCAAAAAAGGTTGAAAAACACTGGTTTAGATAAATCCTCTCATCTTTGTCCCTTCTTTCATGTTTGTGGCCTCACTGGACTGATCTAATACACTTCCTTGTTTTCTGTTGCTATAGGAACTGCTTAACATCATCGCCAGCGTGCTTCACCTGGGAAACGTGCAGTACGGAGGAGAGGACGGCGTCGCCTCCATCACCTCAGACACACAGATCAAATACTTGTCCCGGGTGAGCCATGGTCACGCAAATACAGTTGTGCTTTTTAAGTCTAGACACCCAGTCAGATTTTTCAATGTTTTGGCCAACTTTTTTAGATTATGAATTATGAATGATAACACAACCTCTTCAACCTTTTTACTAATCTGTGAAGCAATACAATGTCAAATAACCGTTTTTTTTTTCTTCCATTTTTGAATTATAACATCATTGAGCCACTTTGGGGAGATCTCAAGTGTACAGTTCATGCAAAGCGGCCCTGGAATTTACAAGAACTGGAGGCCTTTTTTACCAATAGAAATGGGCAGCTTTACCATCAGAGGATACAGAACCTCCTCCACATCCATCTATGGAAATATATTAATATTTATAGACATTGGTCATCTGCCTCTTATGTACCAATGTTTTTAAGTGTTTTTTCATTGTTTGATTCTCTGATTTGTGTTGGCAAATCGACAACTTTGTAATGTGCTCCGAGAACTACTGCTATGGCTTAGGGCTATACAAAAATGAGTTGAATTGAACTCCAAGCCGTCATAGGTTGTTAAAGGGACAATACACACAGAGACTGAGAACTAGGGGATGGAGACTTCTAATCCGGGTCAGAAGAGAAGTTTCAGTTGTCATTATTATAAATTAAAAAATCGAAAATGTTTTTTTTTTACTATAAATGGCTTCACAAAACCACTAACAAGGAGTGTGAAAAAAAAATAAACAGTGAACCACCATAATTATTAGAATTCTTTTTGAAAAAGGCTTCTCTACTTTCTTTACTCTAATATCTTTTCCCCATATTGACAATTCGTATTACTCAAATATAAAATCATTTCTTACTGTTTGCATGCCGGCTTTTTTCTTGCCAATGTAAATGGCTGTGGCGTGTGCTAACTCTGCCACTCTCTTTGCAGTTGTTGGGAGTGAACGGACCAGTGTTGACAGAAGCTCTTACGCACAAAAAGATAATCGCCAAAGGGGAGGAGGTAGGCTGGTACACTGATGCATTGTGGGCGATATGAGTGTTCGTGCTTTGAGTAATGTCTGCTACAAGCTTAATTATATCGTAACAGCCCAGCGATCTGTGTTGGGACTGGATTCACTGGAGTCAACTGGAACTAAACCAGGACTTGGTGGTCATGGCTTTCCCCTGGTCCCATGATTACCAGGACTATAGACACATTAACATCTCCATTCACAACTTTTTAATCGCTATTTCATGCCTTCTAAGAAATCTCACATGAATGGCAAACAAGGTTAAAGTACTTATGATTGGTTAGACTTTACTGTTCACAAAGCGCTGTCAAGATGATTATATGTGAGGTATTCGAACCAATTTAGAATATTATGTGTACGGCTATAACTGGTGTAACTCATCACTCCACTGTCAACCAATCATGTGTCCTCTTTTTCCACGCTTGTCAGTTTATGTCCAGTATATTTGGCCTCTGTCACATCTTTAGATCACATTTTTAATACCGTCTAAAGATTTACTAATACATACTCAAAGTGAAGCAGAGGACCACCTTCATACAATCGGTTCTCACCCCAAAAAAGGACAGAGATCTTTCGCGTTTTCTATTATTTATTTTATTTTTCATTTATTGTATTTACTTGCTGGAGACAGGTCAACACAATCAACATACGAGTGGGTATACAAACGCTACAACATTTATAGCCAAGGATCACTTTTCTTTCGGCTTGTTTGCACCGAGAGCCAAAGCAATTTCCCATAGTCTGTGACTACCTGTTAGTTACATGGCAATAAATAAATTATTTTGATTCTGATTATTTGCAAGGTCTGTGCCTAAAAGGGCTTCAACCTAACAAAAAAAGAAACATTATAAATTGTTTTACATCCACATTATATCAAGGCAGGTGTCCCTCATTTCACAGATGGTCACACAACTGGCTTGTTTAGAAAAAAATTGATTCAGTCAATGTGTAAAATCGAAGATAAAAACGGCATAATTTGGTCTGATTTTTTTCCATCAAATGTTACTTTTACACAAGACCCTCTTTTGGGACAAACAAACAAATTAGAAAAGTTAGTTACTCCAGTTTCAACTCTTCCGTGTGTGCAGTTGGTGAGCCCGCTGAACCTGGAGCAGGCGTCTTCAGCCAGAGACGCTCTGTCTAAAGCCGTGTACGGACGCACCTTCACCTGGCTCGTCAACAAGATCAATGCGTCGCTGGCTTACACGGTAACAAGGACACTGAAAATGTTTGTCTATCATGAACAAGCAGCTTTTTACTTGTTTTAGTTTTTTTCAAGTGAGTGGAGTGATTCAACTAATCCATGTTTGAAATAGTTGTTAAACATTTCAGTGACCAATTAACTTTATTCAATCATTCACAAATTCTCAACAAGTTGCATCATTTAATGTATTTCTTTTTTTTTCATAGAATAAAAGACAACTAACGTTTGCTGGCCTTCCACAATCTAAACACATTAAAAGAATAATCAACTAATCGATTTTCAAAATGTTTACTTTAGATGTTCTTCCTTCCCCTGGATTTTTTTTAAGATTTTTTTTCTCAGTATTTAGCAAATTGTTTTTTTATCAGTTAAGATTTCAAATGTACTAAATATAATTAATGACAAACGTGTCATACAGTAGCAGTTATGTCTTTTAAAAATATATTTATTACTACTGTATTCATACATCTGGCGGTGACAACCATTTTCTCTGTTATGACACAGCGCGCTCTTGTGGCCAATAATGTAATTGCACCCAACTGAAGTCTGTCTCAAAGTCAGATTTGCCCGTTAATGTTATATTTTTACTATTTTTACGCATTTAAATCAAGTTTATATTGAACCAGACTGCAGAGACCTAAACTACTCTAAAAGTATTTTACATTTGATTTACGCTTCAGACTAGAAGTAGATTAATTTCAACTCAATATATTTTATTTTGTGTTCAGGATGAAGCTTTCAAGCACTACTCTGTGATCGGTCTGCTGGACATCTATGGATTTGAAGTCTTCCAACACAACAGGTAACACCCCCAACCAATCTGTGTAAATGCTCCTTTTTCAAACTCTGTTGCTTTGGACAAATCCTCAGATTATGACGTCAAGAAAACAACCATTTTCTCGTCATTTCTATTTATGTCCATTTTTCCATTATGTGGGAGTTTTGCTCATTCTAGTGATTGTTTGCTATATGTTTATCAATATCTTTTCAACTTCATTTAATTTACTCTTCAAAACATCAGTTTACAAATACAGTTTTTGTGTGCAATATTTGTGATGCTGTAAAGAATGGAGGCTCTGTAAAGTTCCAACATGTATTACCAAAATAAACATTCTCACAATCATATTTATGGGCCAAAATACACAAAAATGCGTAGTATTTGTACAGTACTCAAGCCAAAACACACATAACGTTGTCTATTAGCTTTTCCATAACTTAACCTGTGTTGTGTTGTTTTGTTGCAGTTTTGAGCAGTTTTGCATCAACTACTGTAATGAGAAGCTTCAGCAGCTGTTTATCGAACTCACGCTAAAATCTGAGCAGGACGAGTACGAGGCTGAAGGCATCACGGTACGATCAATATCACGATCAATTATCTCTGTGTTCAACGTTTTGTTCTTTTTATAAGTAAATTGGTCATGTGTGGTTAAGTCCGTCATGCTGCAGTGCCCCCTTGTGGCCACTACAGACATTAACAGACGCTGCATTACTCTGGTCCTATGATGCAATTGTTCATGGTTTTTTCAGCACTATTGATTTATACAATTTATTTTATTAGTAGTATTTGATATTCATCTGACTTCAAAAGACAAGTGGAACAGATTTGTCTCTTTTTTTCTTTCTTTTTTTTTTTAAAGCTACTCTTGTAGTTCTGCCATGCTCCACCAGAGGCGTTTGGCTGAACCACATGGGTCTGGTATCGAGCCCATAGCGAACGCCTTCCCCAGATTATTTTTTAATCGACCAATCAGGATAGCCGGTGTTACGTGGGGTTTGCACTGCCTCCTCACGCTTCTCTCATGCAGCAGCGAGAGGAATCCAAGATGGCGGACGTAAAGTCCGCGAATCTTTTTAAAAGAGTAAATACGATCGAATTAAGACACGGCTGTCACTTTTAATGCAATTTGAGGCGAGATGTAGATGGTTCTATGTTGATATATGTGTGTTTTAAGAGTCAAATGTTCCTGTAAAGTTTGGTTGAAGCACTGGTTCAGTGTTCCTGTTTACACACTATGTAGCAGGGTTGCCAGGTTTGGTGGTTCCCGCATATTTTTTTTCCAAGAGACTTGTAGGTATTAAATAAACAGAAAGACAATAAACAGAATCATGATTCTGTTTACATCGTGATTACATTACGTTTTTAGCCAAAAAATCATTCTGAGTGTTTTTTTTGTGTGGGTTTTCTTGCGGATTTTGGGTTGGAAAATCTTGCTGGGATTTGGCAACCTATGGGAGCCGTGTGCTTTGATGTGAGTGGTTGAAAGCAGACTTCATTCAAGATAACGGACAAGTGGTCTATCCAATCACATACAAGGATTTTTTTTACAAGGCCCAGCCTTCTGAAATCCAACCACTATGGCTCAGTACCAGACTCATGTGTGAAGTGCAGCGAACTACATGGGTCTGGCGAGAGTCAGGCTAGGGGTACCTAACTTTCAATCCACAATAACAAATCTGTCCCACTAGTTCCAGGCACTAAATAAAACTTTTTGGTTCTATCACTAGTTTTCACATGCATGCATTTTTGACCTCTGACACATTCTTTGGATCAGCTTTTTCAGACCATAGACTGTATATATTAACGGACAAAGTCACGCCTATCTCCGCCGTTCTAACTAATGGGCCAAAAAATGTGCTCTACTGGAGCTATCCAAAATGGCCGCGAGTGGTCCCGCCCACAAGAAAATGGTGAAAAAACGCATCTGCGCATGCGTCTGCGCCATTAATTTAAACGAGAGACTTCAGAAATTCACAGCAAGTAAACTAGAGTGGACCAAAAAAATCCACCCCCCTCAGCATTGACGCACATGTGGAACGGAGCTTTGGGCCAAGAGCCAACTTTTGGACCATCCTGTAAAGACGTTTTTGAGAGGTCTACCAATGCTATATGTTAGCATTGGCTAATTCTTCTTCTGGGTCCACCCCCATCGGCCCGGGGTGGTATTGCAAGCATGTCAGCGCACATCATTTTGGCCACTTTTGAGCCGGGACCTGCCCCCACTGTTTCAGACCGAAAAGTGAAAAAGAGAGAACCACCCCCACTCAGTCGCTATTTGAGGCTTTGGGCTAAACGTTGATTGGCTAACAGGGCTCTTTCTTACATGTATGCAAAAGATAACATGTTTTATAGTAAGGTAAAGAAGTTGCTCTGAACATTTAACTTTTACAAGACTCTTCTCTTTGGGAAAACAATATACCTATATTTTATGCAAAGTATATTTATTCAGGTACTCCAGCTTTAAGTTACTTTGCACCCTCCTAAAACCATCTTAAAATATATTTGGCCTAAAAATATACTTTCCAACACTATAGAATGTTTGCATAACTTTAAAAAACTTGAGAAATCTAGTATACTTAAGGTCTATTAGTTTGAATTTATAAGGAATTTTGCATGTGATTTTATGTTTGCTTCTTGTTGGATCTGCTCTGAAATTACTTATTGATTCAAACTGACATTTTCCCTTTGTTTTGTTCTCCATATTTGTCAAACAAGAGCCTGTTGTGTTGGAGTGAATGCAGAACAAACATGTAGTGGGAGAGATTTTTGAGTTTGCTCCATAAAGAATCCATTATTTTGAAAGTCGTGGGTAGATCTGTGCTCAGACCGTGTGCTAATGTCGCTGTCGCTAACACGCTAACATGCTAAATGCTAACACAGCTGTACATACACGTGGGAGACGCCCAGATTCCTCACAATGGGTACACGACAGACCAAACATACTGTCAATAAAACTATATGAATAAGGATAAGTTATGCATTGAATTTGTATTTGTGTTGTTTCCAGTGGGAGCCGGTTCAGTACTTCAACAACAAGATCATCTGTGACCTGGTGGAGGAGAAGTTCAAAGGCATCGTTTCCATTCTGGTGAGATAAAAAAATAAAATATCAGACAAAGAATGAGCTTGTTTGTCTGTGGTTTGGGAAGTTTTGAGACGCCATTCCCAGGCAGCTGACTTATACAAAACATTAATTTGTCTCAGTTACCCATAGATTTTGACATTATTATATTCATTCATTAACTCATTGTGTCCCATTGACGCACAAATACGTCAAAGCAAATAGTAACGTCGTGTGCCATTGACGCATTAATCCGTCAATTGCCTTTTTTGCTATTTTCACGTTCCCAGATGTCTATTGTATCTAATATGTATGGGGATGACTTGAGACCATATTTTATCGAGCCAGCAGGTGGCAGCATTGCTCTCTGAATGGTTTGAAAACATGTGGGTGCAAATGTTGTGCCTCTTTTTTCTCAACTTTCTGGTGATTTCTGGTGATTTCAGTAAAACTTCCCTCTACTCGACGGAGGATTACAGGGGAACGAAAAAAGCTATAAACAAAATTTTTTTTGCTGAGGAAAGTAGACAGTCCATTCTTTTAGAATCTGGTGTCGGATTTCAGATAGTCATAGTACACAATATTCTGTGGGTCTTGAAAAATCAGTAAAAATCATCAGAAATGGCTGGCACTGTGGGAGTACCTGTTCTGAAATAGGCTGGCATTCAATTAATATAACAAAAATTGCGATTGCCCCTGGAGATGAATTTTCTCTTTTACGATGGGGGCCTCATCTGTTATAAAACAAACCGGTTATAAAACAAATATTACATACACAGCCACAGAAACAGACAATATGCACATATAGTGTTTTGATTTGTGACATTGTGTTCTGCAGGTTTGAAATGAAATCCATCTATCTACATAGATTTCTTTTATTTCAAACCTGCAAAGTCTTGTTATTGGTCTATAGAAAAAAAGACCAAAAAAAGACTTTGCTTGCTTGTCCCCATGTCCATCTCAAACCTTCGTCCCTATCCGCTCCTACTTAAACTTTGGGTACAGTCACTTTTATTTATGTATCTTTGTAAATAAAAGTAATAACTGTTTCCAAAGTTACTGTAGGATACAGTTACAAACTTGCGTATAAAAGCCCATGTTTTATGTATTTGTGTGGAAATTGGATTGAGTGCTGAACAATCAACAACATCTACATTCACGATTGTCAAATTTGTTGTATTACTTGTATACAAAAATAAATGAGTCTATATAAATGCATATAAATACAAATGTACTTGGGAATTTGTTATGGTTTGGGGAGTTTCGCTCAGGTTTCATGTTTATCAATATATTTTCTACTTTGATTAATTAAATGTATTTTTCATAACTTAGGACCCCCTTGTAGCTACAGTATGTAAATCCCCACCACCCAATACCATGCAACCACTGCTCCTGACAGGAAGAGTCATTTACCTACATGGGCCATAAAAATGAACCTTAACCTTAACCTTAACACGATTGCTTTTCAATAATGAGGATTTCATTCATTTCTCTTCAGGACGAGGAGTGTCTGCGACCGGGAGACGCCAGTGACATCACCTTTCTGGAGAAACTGGAGGACACAGTCGGAGGACATGCGCACTTTGTCACGTGAGTCTGACTTCAATGCAAATATATTATCTTAAAAAACTGTTTTACAAGACCATACACTTCACTTCACTGAACAGAAGTTTTGGGCTGAGCCAGAAAACGCTTTGCTTTATTCAGCACCTGTTCCTCCGACAAAGAGTGAAGGTCTCAATGTTTTTCCTCCAGTGATTTTAGAGAAAGTTTTCACTCTGCAACTTGTTCTTGTCCCTCAGCGCCAGGCTTTGGAACTAACAGATAAAAGACGAGCTGAGAAGGTTTTTTTTGGTAATTTATATTTTACTAGATAGATGGATAAGATAAGATAAGATAAGATTTGCTTTATTTATCTCACAGAGGAGAAATTTACATGTCACATTTAGCATGGATAGAGACACTCAGATTGTGCAAAAGGAGGAAATGTGCAAACATGTAACATGCAGGATATATGTACAATAAAGTGACAATAATTATGTGCAACAAAAGTGACAAGTGTCAATTGGAAACAGTGTCAATAGTAGTGCAGGTTTTCACACAGTGATCATTTAAAGTGACTTATTGTACAGTCTGACAGCAGTGGGGATAAAGGCCCTGCGGTAGCGCTCCTTCCTACACTGAGGGTGCCTCAGTCTTCCACTGAAGGAGCTCCTCAGCTCCTCTACAGTCCTGTGCAGTGGGTGGGAGGTATTGTTCATGATGGAGGTGGCTTTGGCTAGCACCCTTTGATAAATTCAGGTTTACAGAAAAGAAGATTCATACAGGTCTTGGTTTTCTAGTTTTCTTTTGCCGTCATACATTAAACACACATTCAAAAGACAGTACACACACAGTTATTTGAACAAAAAATAAGGAGAAAATAAACAGAAATAGATAATAAATATATGTAAAGTTTTAATTAAATCTAAAAAAAATCTAAAAATATTAGGGAAAAAATAGAAAATAAAAAAACTGTAACAATTATTGATTTGTCCTGTTTACGTTTAAAGACTTCCAATTCCTCATTGGCTGATTTGTTTACAATTTAAACATAATTTTATCACATTTCTCTGTAACTAAAATAACGTATGAACAATAAACTCATGCATTTCTCCTCAGGCACAAGCTGGCCGACGCCAAGACCCGGAAGGTGATGGGACGAGAGGAGTTTCGACTGCTGCACTACGCTGGAGAGGTCAACTACAACGTCAACGGTGAGGAGTCAAAACATTTACTTATTATTATTTTTACTCAATTAGAATCCAAACATTTAGCTTAATTTTTTTTCTCCATTTTTTTGTCGATAAGTGTGCCTTTTTTAGATTTTTTTTAATACATTCTGTCTTACCTTGCATCTAAGTTTTATTTTAGTATTTTTTAATTAAATTTTTGTCACTCTTATTTTGATTTTTCTTTTTAGTTCTTGATCTGTATTTGTGTTACTTGTGTCTCTGTGCAGCACTGGAAACTTGTTTTTATCAAATGTGCTATATACAGTAATTAAAGAGGATTGGCTCATAGCACAAGAATGAGTTATTTTTTTTTAACAATTTTGGTAAAATGTGTAATCCAACGAACTAAGGAATTGAAAGAAAAATGGTCAAATAGTTATTAATTACATCCCTAAGAATATCATTGTTTTCTGGATCTCAGTATTACATTTTTAATTCAAATACACATTTCTGTTTCAGGGTTTTTGGACAAGAACAATGACCTCCTTTTCAGAAACCTTAAAGAAGTAAGCGACTAGAGCAACTTGTACAGTATTTCATGATAAATATAGATATATTAGAAGTGTCTGGTAACGGCCTCTGTCTCCTCAGGTGATGTTCATGTCCGAAAACAAGATCCTGAACCAGTGTTTTGACCGAGAGGAGCTCAGCGACAAGAAGCGACCAGACACCGTGAGACTGTTTTACATAAGAAATCACGTTCAGTAGCTTTTCTTGCTGCGTTTGAGAGAAGTTTTGAATGTTTAACAATATACACAATATAATTCAAGCCGGGCATCCATTCACAAAAATCCATAATTCAATATACAATTATAGATATTGCTTTTAATGCACTTTGGCCACTTGTCTCTGACCGTTCATTGCTGTTACTCAAAGTCTCAGAGATTGGCCAACATTTTTCCCATATCTGCTTTTATTTTATTCTATAATATTTTACCATTGGGACAAACCAGTAGTACAATACAAATAATAATAATAATAATTTCATCTTTTTTTTTGTATTTATTGACATTTTTTATAGGAACTTGACTTGTGTGGACTTTGACATACAATCAGAGTTAATTTGGTATCTTTCCGTGACATATGTGCAGTGTTTCTGAGCCTGATCAGAAGTTTCCATCCCCCAGGTCTCAACAGTGTATTTCCCCTTTAACATCTATCGCAGCTTGTAGTTTTTTGTGGTACCAGTGGCTTAGATTCAATACCCTCTCTGACAATGAAGCTGCCATTCTTCTTGGCAAAAAGCTTCCAGTTCCTGTACATTCCTGGACCGCCTTGCATTAACTCCACATTTGAGATTTACCCCAAGGACAAGTTTATTTGTATAGCACAATTCATACACAATGCAACACAAGATAGAGACAGTCGCACAAGGCATTCCAATCATAAAAAAATCACTGCATTAAAAAAAAAATAATAATAATAATAAATTCCCTCAGTTGTATGCACAGCTAAACAGAACTGTTTTTAACTTGGATTTAAACATTGTTAGAGAAGAGGCCTGTCTCACATTTTCAGGAAGATTGTTCCAGATCTACAAAATATGGCCAAAACCATGGAATTCCTGCTTTAGGTGTATAAACAGGCAAGCGTCCCAGTCTCTGCTTTCCCACAGTGGAACAGCTCATGTGGGGCTGTGGGCAGTGCTATAGGGGGATTCTCTGGCTCCTACTCCTCCAGGAATGCCCCGTCGGTGCTGTGACGCAGACCCCCCCCCCACCCGTCCCCAAACAATGTTCTTTTTACAATGGGCTTTATGTTTTGCCCCTGCATCATACGACCACTGCGCAGCTTGCTCGGTCCTTTTCCCCGTCGGCAGCTTCCACAGCCAGACGCATCGCTCTCTCTCTGAAAATCTTTCCTTGTAAACTTTTCAAACTTTTTTTCTTTTTTTTTTCTCTTGTGTCTGTGGGTCCAGGCGGCCACTCAGTTCAAAGCAAGTCTGGCTAAACTCATGGAGATCCTCATGTCGAAGGAGCCGTCGTACGTGCGCTGCATCAAGCCCAATGACTCCAAACAATCAGGTAAAGCAATGAAACTATAACATTCTGAGTGAAGTAAATATTCCATTTGAACTTTGTCCTTTGTGAATATTATTAGAGATTTTTGGAGACATAAAATTGAAAGAGATTGTTATGTATTTTCTTCATATTTAGTAGTAGTCTGGTAAAGAAAGATCTTTAAATACTGCAAATTGTATTAATAATGTTGAACACTATCCAAATTTAGAATAATACTAATTAGAAAAGGGGGTAGCATGAAAAAAGTGGGATAAAATTCTGATTATTAGACGTTTATATTTTTGTATGAATGTGATGTTTGTACGTGTGTGATGTTTGTGGCTTGCGTGATCTTGCCGTGTGGCTACGCACCACACACTGCACGACCAAAGTGGTTAGACGCAGGATTTTTAATCTCCCCGTGTGGGGTCTAACACGGAGAAAAATCGGCCGACAATTTTAAAATCGTCTCGTGTGAACCAGGCTTTAGTTATCGGATTTTCTAAAACCTAAAATGACTGAACAGAAAAGGCCAATTTCACGTTTGCCACCCACTCTCCCTGTTGTGACAAAGACAAGAAAATACTGGATGTTTGGTTTGGTGGAGAGGCGATTGGTTACCAGTTGGAGCTACGGCTAAGCTAACAAAATCGCTTACTGCACCTTTAATTGATATTCATTACCCCCTCCTCTCTCCCCCTCGGTCAGATTAGGTCATATATCGTGTGTGGAGTTTATGGTCATTGTTTGACTTCACACTTCTCCTTTTGTCTTCTCCACTGTCTCTTCTCTGTGCGACTCCTACTGCTGCAGCTGGAACATAAACTGCCCCAGACCAGGATCATTTCTACCCCACACATCACATACTTTACCCCCCGAGCCCGTATCCTACTGTCTGCTCCAGATTAGGACTATCAGGAATATAGCACATGTCACACAACCAGGGGATTATGAAGCAACACTTTTTTTTTTTTTTGTATTGCCGTGTTTATTTGTAAGAGGGTTTTACTTTTGTTGCTTGACCCTGAATGTGGTGCTGTGTGAGAAATTTGTGTCTGTCAAAGTGAAATTTGTTTTACATATGTACATATTCTTTAGCAATAATTATACCAACCAACCTGAAATCAAATAATAGGACGTTCATTGCAAAAAAAATAAACCTTTTTAGCTTTGCCTCAAACCATTCAATGATTTTTAACTACTTTAAAATATGTGAAACTATTGCTCATCAATTGCACATAATATTTATTTCTTTTACACAGAGGTAGAAATGGACACTGCTCTGGAGACTGATTTAACAATTACGTAGTTAGAAATCATATTTAAGGATAGTTTGTTTAATAAACTGAGCTCGAGCTGGGAACTAAGTTTTTTTTTAATTCATTTTATTTAATATTTTTTCCTCAAATGTGGAATTGTATTGCCTAAAGGGTGTGTAAATGTTAATGTATCACTAGATTATTCACAGGTTAATCATTGTTACGATGCTCGATAACCAAAATGATCAATAGCTGTGCCGCTAAAAACAATATGCTTCTGTGGATTCAAATGTCAGTGTTCAATGTTTTAAAAATAAGGAAATGGTTTGACCAATTCTCTTTTCTACATTGTATAGGGATTTCTGTGAGTTTGACAAAGACTGAGAAGTTGTAAAAGCTAGTTCAGGATATGAATAAGTAAATGAAGTAACAATGCTCCAGCTAAATGTTTTTTTAAATCCATGTTATTTATTAAATGTCAAAAAGAATGATCTCATACTTGTGTCTATTGTGTTGTTACATATTTCCTCCATCTTGTGTCCTAGGGCGCTTTGACGAGGTCCTGATCCGACACCAGGTCAAGTATCTGGGGCTGATGGAGAACCTGAGAGTGCGCAGAGCTGGGTTCGCCTACAGGAGGCGCTATGAGGTCTTCCTGCAGAGGTGAGCGTGACCTGCATCAGGGTTTTAAGGGTTGAGAAATTCACTTTTAATGTTTTGTTTGTCACACTCAAAGAAAGTTACTCTTAATTATATAGTTTCATATTGTGAGCAGGAAGCGTTTGGAATCTTGTACTCAAAAACACTTCGAAAAATATATGAATTTTATCGTAACAATATTAAAGCTGAGGTACCTAGCTTTTTATTTAGGGTAGTAAGGGTTGGGTCTTGCAAAAGTGGAGCGCTGTCTTCATCTTATTAGAATTTTTTTAATCTTTTGAACACTTGTAAGTAAGAGCCCCCTGAGAAAGCTGATTGGCTGAGAGCTGATTCTTTCTCAAAAAGCTCATTTAAAGATGTCACAGAGGCCAAAAAATACCTTTTCTGCTTTGAGAGCGAGGAACTTGTAGAATTGTTGAATTTCGTACATAGTTTATTTGTTTGTGATTTGAAATTTAGATACCGCAGCTTTAATAATATTGAATTTGATGCATTTCCAGATACAAGTCCTTGTGTCCGGAGACCTGGCCGAACTGGCAGGGCAAACAGTCCGACGGAGTGGCAACGCTGGTCAAACATCTGGGATACAAACCTGAGGAGTACAAGCTGGGCAGGTACGACGACACAACTGTATCTGAATACTAATATCTCAACATTTGATTTGTAAAAACACAAAATGTCCTCCTTTTATGAGCAAATTCCCACAACTAAGTTATTAAATCGTGTAAATCCAAAATCCAATACTTGCCATGTTAATAATAAACTTCCTTCTGTGTATTTTAACCTTTCATTGGTTTAAATGAAATGTAAATTGTAAAATCAACACATTTGACCATGGACATAACTTGCAATATTCGTACAACTAAAACAATTAGTTAGATGGAGCTCTAAATAGCAACATAGAGCATTAGCTTTGATTCAGTTTTGTATTTGTCTGACATATAACTGTATAATGGGCCAAGCTAACGTTTTACTCTTTATTAGAAATTGACTTTCCTGTATTTTGGGCACTAAAAAAATATGACTTTGGGGTTAAATACACAAGCGTCTGTCTAATATAGTTATACCACTCTAATATGTGTTACTCACTCTAATCTCCGTTCATTTTTAGATCTAAAATCTTCATCCGATTCCCAAAGACCCTGTTTGCCACTGAAGAAGCACTCGAGACCAGGAAGCACAGTCTGGGTATGATTTTTTTATTACAGGTTATGACCAGATCATACAAAGGACTTGTGTTAATCATTCATCCGTGTGTCTGGTTCAGCCACTAAGCTCCAGGCCGGATGGAGAGGCTACAATCAGAAGTCCAAATTCCAGAAACTCAGAAATGCAGGTGAGGAATCTAAGGGAGAATAATCTATTTACAGAGGAAAATTACAATGAGCATCGTGTTATATTTAAAGCAAGTAAAATTATGTGTTTGTTACTGATGTTTGAGCCACTTTAACATTATTAAAAGTATGTAGTTCATGTGTTTTTCATGATTGTGGTGGTAATATTAGTATTTGTGCTTAGCTATCGTGTTCCAGGCCTGTTGGAGAGGCATTTTGGCTCGGAGGAGGGCCCAGCGCCGGAGAGTGGCATCTGACACCATTCGCAGGTATAATCACTGTGGTTAGCTTTTTTGATTCTCGACAAGAAGGTCCTGGGTTCAATTCCACCTACAGACGGGCCTTTCTGCCTATTCTCCCTGTGTCTGTATGGGTTTCCTTCAGGTACCACTAAAAACATGTACAATAGACTCTATGGGGTCAGTACTCCTCTGAAAAATAGATTCTTTCCTGGTTCCTGGTTCCTGGTTCTATTGGGATGGAATATTCCACATTAACCTATCTATGGAAACATGCAAATGACCAGTTTAAGTAACATGAATTCACTCACTATAAGAGTTCTGGGTTTAGAGCCAACATGGAAACCCCCGGTCTCAACTTAAAGGAAAAAGAGATTTGAATTTAGCCAATACAATAATCACCTGGAGTGAGGTTCTAATGATTTTGATGAATAAAAAGCTAAATTGATCTTTTCTCATTGATTTTCCATCTCCAGGTTCATTAAAGGCTTCATCTACCGCCACAAGGACCGCTGTCCGGAGAACGAGTACTTCCTGGATTATGTGCGCTACTCGTTCCTCATGAACCTCAGACGGAATCTGCCCAAGAACGTTCTGGACAAGAGCTGGCCCACGCGTCCAGCCGCTCTGGTGGAGGTGGGAATCCTCATATTTACACTATTGTTTTATGGACTCGTTTTGGGTCATTCACAGAAATCAGCTGTAGAAAATAAGGACTTTCCAAGAAATTGAAGTGACCACTCATCCTATTTCACTGTCATTCAGTTCAATTATTCCCCATTTTATCTGATGGAGATGTAGCAGAGTCAATGAGGCAGATTTCTGAATGCGGCTAAGAAAAAATATTATTTTTTTCATTTTTTTTCATTTTTTTATTTATTTCATTCATTTAAAAACAAATGCAACAACAGCATTTAGCATGAATGAAAAGGAGCAGAAAGAAGTAAAAACTTATAATGTCTGCCCCCTAAATTATCATTTTTGTTTCATATGAGCTGCATTTGATATGAACATATTTTTCCTGGTATATGTCACAACGTATTCTAATATTAAGGGCATTCAAAACATGACATTCCAGTGCATTTTGATTCACATTGAAATGAGGCGTGTCCTGCTACATGGAATAAGTTCAATAAATCAATGTTTGTATTAGAGATACCCAAAGAAAGGCCTGAGGGATTAATCTGGCCCAACATGAGGTCTAATCTTGTTTTCTGTTCTGAAATTTGGACAAAAATATATATATTTTTATATTGGACAGAAAAGTCTGAACTGAAAATAACATGGAGTCCATAGTCTTTTCCTATAATATTAAAAAAAAATATCTTCAAAAAATATTTACCAAAAGCATGAATGGGATTTCTCCTCAGCCTAATGATACCTATAAATTCTATCTTCTGACACCCCTGATTGAGAATATCAATACATTACCTGTGTATTACCAAATAGTCCATCCCAATATCTTTTCATTTCCATCTTTTTTAGGCCTCGGAGCATTTGAGAACGTTGTGTATGCAGAACATGGTGTGGAACTACTGCAAGAAAATCAGCCCTGAATGGAAACACCAGGTCTGAAAACAACGTGACGATGATCTGAAACTTGGATAAACGTTTTGTCTGTATCTTGACTGTAAGTTTTAATTCTCAGCTGGAGCAGAAGATGATCGCCAGTGAAATCTTCAAAGACAAAAAGGACAACTATCCTCAGAGCGTCCCCAAACTGTTCGTCAGCACCAGACTCAGTAAGAACACCTCAATTCACTTTTCCAAAACAGAAATATCTATTATTATTTATACCACTCTAGTTTTGTTTGCAAATGTCTTCAATGGGGCAGTAGCAAATATATTTTCATTGTATTAGTCAGATTTGATGGGACTGAGCAAAGACTATAGTCGCTTTTAATATCTTTGATTTTCTGCTTTTACTGTTCATCCCTATTGACTGTTTTTGTGTGTGTTTTTTTTGCACTTTTGACCTGATTTGTATTTAGTAAAACAGCTGTAAAGTGTAGTTCATATAGATAAAAGATACACTACCACTTGACAACATTATGGTTAATATTAGATTCATGAGGATTTTAAGCAACAGAGAGAGAAAAAAAAACATAAGCAAATATTTTAACCAACAATTGTATCGTAAACTACAGTTGATTATGACTGTTTAAATCTCATTTTAAATCACAGATCCAATATTGCACAGCATTGAGCACAGTTAAATGTTTATTGGAGGATTTTCCCAAATTCTAGGAAAGAACCGCCCTCTTCACTTTTTTGAAAGAACTCTCTGATCTTATTTTTTTTTATCAATTAGGAGGACCAATAGTCTTGATGATCCACCTGGAAGTAAAAAATCCTCCTATATATCTTTATCTTACAGTTGGTATTATACAATGACTTTCTTCAAGGTCCATAAAAATGCATTGTTTTGTATAATGCACGACTATATTAATGTGTGCGTCGACATTTTGATCGTGGAAAGGACTGGCTCTCGGCTAAATGTGTTTTTCAATAGTGTACAGGACAATATTTACATATTTTCTAACACATTCGGAGTGTGTGAGTGTTTTGACCATGGCATAATCAGATTAAACATCAAATCAAATAACAGTGTAGATTATCATTTCTACTTTTCTTTTCACTCCTCAACTCTTGTGTATATGACATAAATGATTTCTGTCAAGCTTTGTCAGCCATTGTTTTGTTTTCATTTTTACATATTTGTTTCATATTGTATAATTCTAGGTCACATTGTGATTATAATGGTTTTATAGATTGATGCATTGATTTACAGATGCCTTATTTCTCCTTTTACAGATGGAGACGACATCAACCCCAAAGCCGTTCAGAACATGGGCAGCGAGAAGATGAAGGTTGGTCTCATGTCTGTTTATCAAAGTATTTTTTATATTCATACTCATCTCTTCTTCTTCTTCTTGTGGTGATAAAGTATGGAGTCCCAGTCACCAAATACGACAGAAAAGGATACAAGGCTCGACCCCGACAGCTGCTTCTCACAGGCAACAGCGCCATCATTGTTGAGGAGGGGAAGCTCAAGCAGCGCATAGACTACGGAGCGCTAAAAGGTAAGATATTATTCATTATTATTTCACACTCGCATTCTAATAATTATCTAAAAGAGGAAATACAAAGCTAGTTATCAACAGCAGATCATGGGCACTTCTTGAAGAAAGCCATCTCAAAAAAAAAAAGTTTTGATATATATATATATATAAATTATAATGTTTTATGTATAGGGCTTTACCAAATGGTTGAGATGTTTGATGGAAGGAAAGGAAGATTTCACTTCCAACCAAGCTTCAAGAAGAAGTAGTGACTCAAAAAGTGTTATTATTATTTTTTATTTTATTATTTGTTTATTTTTGACAGGGACATTGCACAATAAATGTATTGTTCAGACCGGATATAGCTACAAGCTAATTTTCATCCGTAGTCCCTGAGGCAGAGGCAACGTGACAGCAGGTTTACAGTGTGCAAAGAATTGCACCCATTGGTTGAGGAAAAAATTAAAGGGTTAAAATGAAAACTAATAACAGGAGAGCATTATCTCAAGCTCAAAGATGGAATTCTTTCTTGCATATTTTCCTATTTTGTCTCCAAACAGAAAGATTGTTGTGGCTTGAAACTGAACTACATGAAAAGTATAAAGTTAGTATAAAGTTGACAACCTTTTAATGGTGCAGTAGAGTGTAACTTTTCTGATGGGGTCCACTCTGTTTCTTTGCCATTTACTACAGTAGATATATATCTTGGTATGATATGATCGTACACTACTCCATTAGATGATTTTACTTCTCAGAAACTTGAAATCTTACATTGGTTCCATAAATATAGATGGATAGATTGATAGATATAGATACTATAGATACTGTAGATAGATACTGTAGATAGATAGATACTTTATTGATCCCCCGTAGGAGAAATTCAGGTGTCCAGCAGCAGATATGACTTAATGCCATACTGTGGAATATTCCAACAGCAACATTTAAATTTGATGTTTTATTTATGTGTGTGTGTGTGTGTGTTGTTTCTCAGGGATCTCCGTCAGCTCTCTGAGTGATGGGCTGTTTGTTCTGCACGTGCCCAGTGACGACAACAAACAAAAGGTAGAAAAACATCGGCTTCGCTTTTTTTCAATATTGAAATGGTTGTCTGTGTGGTCAGATCTCCAGAAGAAATGCATTGAAACACACACAACATGGCCAAAAAATTGAAACAAAAGAATATCGTAAAAGTTTTTGCAAACCAGAAAATAAGGGAATCTTCATTTATTGATAATGATTTATTCTTCTATCAGCAACATCAACTGCTATAGTCTTTCTCCAATAATGATGTAACACTAGACCTGTCTGGTTCACTGTTACTTCATTGTTGGCATAAAATAATAGTAGAAAAACTGTCATTTCTACTTTATCTAACCATGCAATCCTATTCTGACACATTTTAGGGATTAGATTATTTTCCGGTAGTGACTCTGCATTTTATTGAGTGGTGTTCCGTGGCTCATTTGTCCACAACTTTGTTACTTAAATGGTCTTGGCTTTTGCAGAACCAAAGCTGCATTAGCCATTCACAGTTTGTCTAATTGGAGTCATTAATCTGGGTGTGACTGTAGGAGTAGCGTCTGGATACAGTTTGTGTTTAGAAGACGGCAGGCTCGCAATAATGAAAATACAGCTTGACTTTTGTATATATTTGTATATTTGTTGTATAGATTTCCGACACGCATAATGCATTATTTATTCTTTGTGTAAATGTATGTCTTTTTTTCTTTCACAGGGAGATGTGGTTCTGCAGTGTGACCATGTGATCGAGACTTTGACCAAAATCGCAATTTGTGGAGAGAAAGTCAACAACATCAACATCAACCAGGGCAGGTGAGGCAGGACCTGCATCTGAATTTAAAAAAACGACTTTAAAATGTATTAAAGGTCATGAAAGAAATATATTGAGTTGCTATATGAACAAGAATTGGTTGTTCCTTAGTTGCATTGCTGAAGGAAAATGTTGAATTAATGACATATTTCTTTGTGTAATTAGTATAAAGTTCGCTGCAGCTCAGGGCAAAGAGGGGATCATCGACTTCACTCCAGGGTCAGAACTTCTGATCGCCAAATCCAAGAATGGGCATCTGTCTGTGGTGAGTGCTTTTATCTATTTTAATACTGTATTTTTTCATATAATTCATATAATACGTGTAATTTGTTACTACATATTTTACTGAAGTCGGGTGAAGCATACAAAGATCAAACATATGGTACTTGGTCACGAGGTCCAGCGAAGACATCACACTAAAGCAACACAATAATAATCATAAAAATAAGCATACATAATTACAGCAGACTACTTCTAAATCATTTAATTTTATCCTCATATCCTTCATTATCTGAGGGTTAGGGTTGTATTTATTTATCATAAATCATTTTTTTTTTCAATTCAATGTTTTATTACCTTGTTGTGGTCTTACTGAAAACAATAATAAAAGTAAATTATTTGTTTGTTGTCATAAACATGACTAAAAGTGCAAAAGTAAAAAAAAAAAAGAAATCTGCACTTTTGCCGAAAAATTTGAGGTGAAATCAAAACATTCCCCAACAGAACACTTACCTACAGTAAATGATTATACTTGCATTTATAGATATCTTATTTACCCGGTACATTTTACTCTTTGCAGACGGCTCCACGGCTGAACTCCAGATGATGTGGACCACGACCGGGACTAAACCTCCACTGTCCAATCAGGACTGCAGGACTCCGCTTCTAAAACAACACAATCCAGCAAGACTAGTTGAAATATTTATGTGTCTATATGATATTTTTGAGATTAATACTATTGATGTTTTGAATATACTGATTTTATACGCAAAGCCAAGGAATAACAAATGTGTAGGTGCGTTTTAATGCTCGCATCTTTGTTGATTTGTACACTTTTTTTTTTTTGGAAGAAGATTTGGTTTAAAGACAGGACCAAAAAAAACACGCAATTTTACCCTAATTTGAAACAACACATTGAAAAAGTTGTTGATGACGATTGGGAAATGGCTTTTTGCTCCTGTTTACGATGACAATCACTTTGGGTTAAGCGCGTTGAAGCATCAGGGTAAGTAGGCCATAGTTTTGTCACTGTACAGACTGGAAACGACTTTATGAGAGAATTTGACAGAAAGTAAAGAATGTATGTTAATTGAAAGGATAATAATAAGTTGGAAGATGGTACAACGGTGATTTTGTTTGGTGTAATACGAACAAATGTCTGCTTTAACTCTTGACAGTGCTGTACAGTGGATGCTCTCCAATAACAGGCGTGTGTGTGTGGTGATTAGCTACTGGCTTTCCCATAGACTGTATATAGATGGACAATGCTAACATGCTAGCTCAATGCAGCCCAATAAGGAAGTTTTGCTCCATCTTGCTCTGGCTCCTAGTGAGTTTTGAGCTTTAAAACTCCATTGTTTAGCGCTCTGTTTATATTGTAATAGTGCTTTTGTGAAACCAGATGTGAGCCTTGACATGTGACCAATCAGGAGCCTTCTGTCCCCAAATTCGGCCTTAGCTAGCAAGTAGCGCGAGCGGGGAAAGACCGGTGCCGCTTCTGATTGGCGCTTGGTAACTTTGACGTTGCTATCAACAAAATATGGATACATTTGACCCCACACTCCGGCTCAAATAGCCTGTTTAAGCTAGCTCTGATTGGGTTCTTCCACATTGAGGCTAACACTACGGCCTGTCCACTCTAAATATACAGTCTATGCTTACTTCAAGTTATAATAGCAAATAATGTATTTGTATTACCAGCAAAGCCAAAGCAGAAGATGTATGCCTCAATTACGCCTTAGTTTTGTTATGCATTCTGCCATCTTGCTCATAGATAGCCATAAAAGCGGGAAATATAAAGCTGCCATTGTTGCCGCTGTCTGTGGCTGCAAGACTGACCACTAGGATGTAGTCCACCTAAGGCCCATAGTCGTAAAGGCTATTTCTGTATCTTCTAATGTTTTTGACTCACTATGCCTTTTCAATGTCTAAATTATCACTTCAAATCATTTACTTTCATGTCACATCTTTCCAAACATTTCCAAAGATCCGGTTTGTAGCTTCATGTACACTCCGATTAGCAAAATCTCACTCTAGTTTTAGTGTTTTACGCCAAAATACTGTAACTTAATCCTGTCCGCTTCATGCTTTCACAGACAAGGCAGTGCAATAAATGGAAATCCGTGCTTAATATGCACTTACAAGCTTTTAGCCAAAGAAGCCATGATTATTCTTTGTGATTCTATAATGTATAATTGTGGTATTATTGAGTTGAATGTCTTTTTGTTTTCAGGAGGGAGACGATGTAAATGTACAGTTGTGTTATAAATGATAGACTCAAGCCAGGTTTGGTGATGTTAAAAAAATAATTGGGGTGAGAAAAGAGCTTTAAGTATTGTTTGATGTCTTGATGATGTGCCTTTTTGAATAGAATCGATGTTTGTTTGTACGGGATTATAAGACAAATACCTCCTTCACTGTAAATACGCTTCCACCAAATCATATTACAAGCACACTTTTGTCATGACTGTATGGAGACGCCAACACATTCAGAAATACTAAAGAAATGAACAATAAATCTGAGGCTATAAGAAAAATGTGCATTACGTGTGTTATTTGTGGTTCGGTAAAAAGTGGGGATATAAATTTATAAATGTTTATAAGGGAGGGTCTGCGGTCTGGTCGTCACTGCTTTGCCCGGAATGATCCAATAAAAATAATTGACATTTTACTTACTCAAAGGTGACAAGCCGGTAAAACCACTCATGATTGAATAAATCCAAGGCAGATGTATTTAAAGCTAGTGTAACCAATTATCAAATCACACAAAATGGAATGTTTGGTTCTATCACTAATTTTTACATTCACATACACACACAAAATGAACTCCATCTGCCAGTCAGCTCTCAAGTGACACGCTTTCCTCCGTTTCATTGATTTTTGCCCAGCGAGAAAAATGTAATATTTTCGGTTTTTTTACCTCATGGATTTCACTGATTCTGAATACACACATGAAATAATTAGTATCAATATAGTTATCAATCATAAAACTACAACTCATTTAATCATCCATCCATTTTTAATTTCCTTAATCCTCTTCTAGGTGGGAGGGTGGCAATCAGAGCTGCCCCTCACTGTCCCCCTGCAGGGGCTAAGTCCACTCTGTCAGGGTAGCCTGGATCTTTCAGCGGGGGCTACAGGCTGTGTGGGGTTAAGTGTCTTGCCCAGGGACACAAGAATCGCAGACATCAGTGGTGTGTTCTGTGGGGGATCAACGCTCTACCAACTGAGCAACTGTTGCCTCGTCCCGTAATCCTGATTTTTTTAATTTGGCAGTTCTAATCTAATACAATGCAAATTTTCCGTAATCACTTTTCCCTTCTACCCTGTAATCAGAGTTGAGAAACATTTATAGTAGTAGTAGTAGTAGTAAGTAATCATTTATAAAGATGGCATTTTATAACTGCCATCTTTAAAAAGAAACATTTATAAAGATGGCAGTTATATAGATCTTGTGTGAAGAAAAACAAATGGGACAGTGGCATTACAGTAGCCTGCAGTAATTTATTCTCATAGGATTACTGATCCCTATAATATGTCTATTGTATTTCTAACTAAATTAGTAATCATTGAAATACTATTTGAAACTTTGACATCAGATTAGTTGTGCCGGTCCAACCCTTTTGGAAAAAAAGGCAAAAAAATACTATGATAACATTGATTACTTACAATGTACGATATGGAATATGAATTTGCAGCTGTTATCTCAACATAAACTCTTGATTGGAAAACAAAATGATAGACGGTGACACTGTGATTGTTTCCAGTAGGATAATTTTCCAGTCCAATGGTTCACTGTAAACCCTGACAAGTAAAGTTTACTTGAAAAAACCATGGAAATAAATTGCATATTAACCACTTGAATTCCTCGAGTACATCCTTTACTTGATATTACCAAGTAAACTCAAGTGATTCCGATAAAGTTTAATTTTCAACTTATGCTCTGACCAGGATTCGTACCTACAACCTAGCGGTTAAGAGGTGAAGGTGTTACCCACTCAGCCACCGTGCCACCCTGTTAGAAACACACCTGTCTCATTTAAGACTCTACACGTCAAAATGTCAAAAGTGAGGCTTACTTGAACAGAAACAGTTCAATTCAAAGAAAATCCTGAGTGATATAGGCAAGCTTTATATAAACTAACAATAAATGAGTAATATTCACTTACTGGGAAAAATCTATTTAAAATAGCTTTGATATCTGAAGTACGATTGAAGTTAGGGTTTACAGTGTTGTTAATAGGGGGAAGGAAGTGTTTTCATGAATTTCCCAATAAATTAAGCCGCTCATGGGGGGCCTCTTGGTGGCCCTATGTCCCTTGTTTGGGTATGACCGGCCCTGCAGGTTATTAATCTAACATTGCACATATTTCATATTGCTTATTATTATAAGGCAATTGTTGCTGTGTCACTTCGGAAGCTTCAGGGATGGTAAACAATCTACTGAGCTGTTATTGTGTTACTTCGACAGGCTCCAGTTCCAATCCGGTCGTTCTCCTGTGTGCCTCTAGATGGTGCTCTAACATCCATAAATGTTGCAGTGAGTTTTTGCTGACTGGTGTTCTCGGTGTTCCAGACTTGTGCTAGTGCCATGTGCTGCTCTCTCTCCGGACTTCTGAGAATCACAAGTGTGTGGCCTGTGTGCGTGTGAGGGAAGTAAACAGCCTGACGGAGGCAGAGCTGCCACTGACACAGGCAAAGATATGTATTTGACACAACTTTCATGTATTTTGAAGTAAAGTGCATTTAAAGGTGACCATGCAGAGACAAAGGCAGTCATTTACAACAACATCACAGCATTATAGTTGCCCTTTAAACTGCTCTACGGCATTTAAGGCTGTTCCTCATACTATAACAAAGAAAACATGACTATTTATTAACACGGTGATGCATGGACTAAAAATAAAGGGGGACAAGGAACATTTAGACATGAATGTTACAAGACCATTTACATTTGTTATTTGGACCAGATTACTTCCATGGGCTATACCATTATATATAATTGTCTAATAGTGTTGTCCCAATACTAAAATTGCAAACTCGATTCTGATACTTAAAAAAAGACTCAATGCCCAAGTGGATGCCACAGACATATCATAGATCTAAATCTTTCAAAGACTTCTGAAATGTTTTCTTGTTTGTGTTTTTTCCCCCCATAATGGATAGTTCACTTTTACTAATGTGGTTTCACTGCAAATGACGAATAAATTCTTGCAACTTTCTCAATTTTGCAACTTCAGCAGCTGCGAATATTGATTTGAACATTGATTAATATAGTTTTGACAACTCTCCTGTCTGAGTGTTCTTGTCCCAGTTTGTCTCTTATTACCATGAGAGAGGTCAGACCCAAAGAAACAGACTCTTAATGATGTTTATTGAGCATTACTGAACTAACGAGCTCCAGCCTGTAATAGATATGTTAGAAAGCCTGGGTACGTCTATGGCAATTTCTACGGATGTCTCCTATATATACATGGCACTAGTTATAGCAGATAGCTGGTAAAACTTGTACTTGTTCATTTTTTTATTTTTTTTCAGGAAATTAGCAGATTTTTAGTTGCTTTTTTAAAGCTCATAACTTTATGTTGACTATTCTTTTAACTATGAATATATCCAAACATATAATGAACAATAGTCTTTAAAATGATTTTGGACCTAAAAATCTTGGGTAATTCATTCAGGTATAGAGTTCTCAAACAGGATAGTGAGCATAGTTATTTATGATCTTAATGGCTTGTGTGACTGTTTCTATCTTGTTTTGTTCAGCACTATGAGTTACCATGTGTTTGAATTGTGCTATAAAAATAAACTCGCCTTGCCTTGCCAAGTTGATAGCAGATTTCTGAACCAAAACATGTTACATGATGTGAGACCAGTGGAAGTACACGTTCAAACCAGATCCTGCAACTTGTGGAGAAAACAAAAAAGTCATTAGAATAAATCTCGCGCTGTGATTGGCCGCCGCGCTCCTCTAGCTCAGCCCTGGACCAATCAGCGCGCGGCCTTGTTTGTGTCCGTCTCTGCGCTGTTATAAAAGCTTGCGCGCTGAGGATGGGAGAGAAATCTGGATGAAAACAGAGCAAAAAGAAGCAAATCACACACTCCTCTTTTGTTCTTGTGTCTTCGAGGCTTCGGGACATCCGCACAGGAAGTCGTGACAGCGGACTGAGCGGATCTCACCGCGGAGGCAGGTAAGCAGTCACCAGAAAAGAAAAAAAAAGGATGCTGGTTCCCCACATAGAGCTGGACTTCCCCGTATCGCTGCCGTTTTGAGCAAATTCACTTGATAAACGACACAATCTACAATGACATCTCCAGCTACACTGATGCATTCATTCAGAACTTCAAGCTTACAAGCCAGCACGTTTTTTTCTACGTTTATGTCCCTTATATATCACAAAACAACACCATTCAGAGTGGCTATTGTTTCAAAAATACTTTCAAAATGCGCGTTCTTTAAGCTGTAATATTGTATCACACCTTTCAAAGCCAGTTCAAGCCTGTTTGGAGATAATATCAACTGTAAACTTGCATATGTTTCCCCATTTTCCGTGTGGGCTTTTGTGATGAGGACTTATTCAAACACTGCACCAAAGTTTGAATGGGCATTTGGGCATTTCAGTCTATGATCACGAAAATGATTCTTTTGAAAGGATCATATGTGGTTTTCTTCATGTTTTTCCTTCTGGTCTTTGTGTATGAAGTAATAATAGCAGCAGCGTGTTGGTTTATTATTCTGATCCTACTGTTGTTGATACTGAACAGCTGAGCGCCTCTGTAACGAATCAAGAGTCAAGTTACACTGTGGAGAAACAGCAGGGAGAGGAAACGGAAGCTGATTTTCACAATAAAGTCACAAAAACATTGAACTGAGACCAAAGATAGAAAGTTCATTTTCTTACAAATTACAAATGACTGAGCTTGGCCAAACTAATGCATTACAAAATAGATACTAGATGATTACAGAATAATGATTTGCTCTGTGTAATGGGAAAAACAACAATTAGGTAGATTTGTTAGTTTTAAAGGAAATCTCCATTGTCTCCAAGTATTTCCCATAGATTTCACTTTAAATTCTGTATTTTTCTTACCACACAATTAGTTATGTAACAGTGACATAATATTAAAGCTGGGTTTGCTTTAAACATGATTCTGTTTATTGGAAACTCCAGGACAATGCACAGTGATTTATGTATTTGAATGTATGTATAGTAATGCAGATCAACAAAATCCAACAAAAGGTTTATGGAAAACATAGACCGACAATATTGCTTCATGAAGAAATGATGTGGGCAGATCACCACATGATAGACAAAAATAATAGTGGATACTACTCTCACTTCTCAGCAAGAAAATCCTGGATTCAAAACCTAAGTGGAGTTTGCATGTTTTCCCTGTGTCTGCGCAGGTTTCCTCCAGGTGCTCCGGTTTCCCCTACCACTAAAAACATGTACAATAGGTCTGGCATGTGCCTCCTGTGTGGTGACCTCGCTCCCATCTCTGTGTGGAGTGAGAGACAAATGCCCACCACAATTGTAAAGCGCTTTATGACTCTGGTCTGTGAAAGGTGCGAGATTAATAAAGATGACTTACTTACAAATTCAAATATAGGTTAAACTGGCAGTTTACAGAGATACATTTACAAATACAACTGTTGAAAATGCATGTTCTGTCAAATTCAGTGTTATCTGTGGACCTATAACAGATAGAACTCAACATGCTATACTTTTATCATTAGTCTTTTACTTTGAAATTCCTCTCCCCGGGTGCGGCTGTCTTTCTTTATGCTTTGTGGTGAGATGCAGATAAGTGCAGGAGGAGGAGGAGGAGGAGGAGGGGGGTGCAGATGACTCCAGTCCAGTTCAGACCAGTTTCTGCTTCTCTATCATTCTCCCGTCTTTGTTCTGAATTTGCTTTAAAAACTAAATCAGGGCACTGGATTACCATGTCCACAGATAGTTCCTCTCTCCGTCTCTTGAACTATTAAAACATGAGCTCCCAAAACTAAATGCATTCTCTCGCTGTGGCATTGAGTCCAGGCGGCATCTGCTCTAAACTGTACACAAGTTTGGCCATGTTTTTAAGCCAGATATTTGGATATTAATGAAAACTAAAGGATAAAACATTGCATAGGATTTTTCATTCAATCCCAGCTTCATGCTTTTATATGAGCATGAAGCTGACCTCTTTGTCATGGTTTGGGAAATTTACTGAAAAATCCTTTCTAAACTGGAATTTTAACACAACATGGGTTCTAACTGGCTTAAACTGATGTTGCTTTTCTATGCCTTCATATTCTGTGTTATTTTTGCCCATAAGATAAAATATAGACTTAAAAATAATTAGGTAATTGATAATATTCCAACTATTCATAGGTTTCAGCGTTCATTTTTTCGGGGACATTAGACTTTTCTCCATTCAAAGATACTATATTGTTCAGACCATAATGCATAACTTAAGCCTGGTCGTATTGGAAGGTAGACAATGTATTAAGTCTTTGTATGTGTCATGGAAAACATTGTTGGAATAAGACGCATATTTAAAGTTACAAAAAACAAATTGCTCTGAATGAAAGCTGAATATTTGACGTCACCAGGGCGCATAGTGTGTAATAACATCTCCAGTTGTGACATATACAGACATGTGCACATATATACGCCCTGTGTTTCCCCTATGGGCCATAAATGAGCTGAAACTCACGTGTAGCTGCTGCATATACTATGTCACTTGCAGCCAATGGGAGCAGAGCAGGGAGCTCCAGCAGCCAATGGGTGAAGGGTGTAGGCGGGGTGTGGATCTCGAAGGGCTGGACATGTTCTCCTCAGCTGTTTTCTGTTTTAAGTCCTCATCATTTGCACAAAGGAACAAAGAAACCATAATGATTTCTCGGTGATTTGTGGTCGAAAATGAATGAGATATAGGACTGAGATAAGATTGGATTAACCTGGAGGAATAGAGTACTTTTAGTGTAGTGATTTTTTAATCATTACCTTAACAGATAGTTGCTGAGTATTTGTTTACCTTTAGACCAGGAGGGACACAAGGGAGATTATTAGAGACTTGATCATTTACATTGCAACACACAATGCACCCTTTTTGTGAGGTCCCAAGTGACTCTCAGAAAGAAATGGGAACGTATTGACTGAAAAACGAAACTCCCTTTGATCTTTAACTTCTCCAACTCATTCCTGCGCTTTTGACCACTGCTTTTGAATGGCAACTGTTATAGAATTTGCGTACAAAAATTTGGCTCAAGGTGTTTATAATATTATTTAATTCAAATGGACTATTCAAAGTTCTAAATGTTTTTGTCTCTCATTCACTTTGTGCCTGCTTTGTCAGCACTTTCTCGTTAAGACGTTTAGGTCCTAAAACTTTTATGGTATGCCCCCTAAACCTTGGGAGAAGTACCATAAAGATTGGTATTGGCGCGGTCCCTTTCCTCAAAAAGATTCCTGGCTCCACTCCAAAATGTTTTGTTCTCCTATTTCCAAAGTTTCCTGAAAAGTTGTTAAAATTATTACTTATGTAGGTATTTGGCTTACAGATGGACAGATGAAAAAACCTTTTTTTTTCCAGACACATGGTTGAGATACATTTACAGGAACTTACAAAAACACAGGAATAAGGGTAATAATGGTCCTCGAATGTCATAAATTATGCAGTTCTTTAGAAACTTCAAACTTCCTTGATAACTTTACAACCATCTCCAACCATTCATTGCAAGGCATATTTCAAGAGGAATCAAATCATACATATTGCTATAGTATACACATGATAATACTGATGAAAATAATATCAATATTTTCTCTAAGATTAATTCAATGATTATCAGAAATTAGTGTGATTTAATACAGACAATAGTACAATTTCCCCCTCCATTACCTCATCTTGTCTTTCAGACTCAATCCTGTGTCTAATAACATAAAAACCCAAATATAAATGTCATATAGAACTTTCTAATTCTATGGGAACACTATTCATTTGTGTCTTGCAGTCTCCTCCAGCCCTCTGCAGCCACACAGCTCTACCTCCGAAAGGCGCCATGGCTCCCACTCTGTCCACGGCCTTCTCGCGGCGCTGGTGGATGGCCGTCACCGCCGTCATCGAGAACCTGCTCTTCTCCGCCGTGCTGCTGGGCTGGGCCTCTCTGCTCATCATGCTGAAGTCTGAGGGCTTCTACTCCTACCTCTGCAAGGCGCCCGGTCAGTGCAATACAAGCTCTGTTACTAACACACTTATTATCAGGTGATACAGAGGTCCAAAACCCTCTCTATTTCAATTTCGCAATCAAAATGTGAATACCTTATTAACCCCATAAATGCCAACATCCACAACCAAACACAGCATTACATATAACATACAATAAAGGTTACAAGAGAAAAACAATATGCAGCGCAAGTAGATTTAGTTCTAATTGTGCTTTCAGCAGTCTATGTGATCCATCCATCCATCCATCCATTTTCTTCCCCTTAATCCATTTCTGGGTCGAGGGGGTGGCAGTCAGAGCTGCACCCAGTACACATAATAATTATAATAATAGATTTTATTTATAACGCACCTTTCATATGCAAAGCACATCTCAAGGTGCTACATCAGAATAAAAACACATATATACAAATGTTAAAATACATTAAAACATGGGCTGCAGATCAGCAGTAGGCCTTCCTGAATAGCTCCGTTTTCAGGTGCTTTTTGAAGCACTCCACAGACTGTGGCGCCCACAGGTCTTGGGGCAGGGCGTTCCACAGGCGTGGTGATGCGGCTGAAAAAGTCCTGTCTCCCATGGAGTGAAGGCGTGTGATTGGCTGACTGAGACGGTGGGTGTTTGTGGACCGGAGGGATCTTGATGTGGACTGTAGGGTGAGGAGGTCTTGTAAGTACTCTGGGGCGTTGCTGTGGATGCATTGGTGAGTGAGAAGACAGATCTTATATTCAATACGGAGGTGTATGGGGAGCCAGTGGAGTTTACGGAGGACGGGGGTGATGTGCTCGAACTTGCGTGTCCTCGTCAGGACCCTGGCAGCACTGTTCTGAATATGCTGAAGCTTTTGAAGGCTTCTGCCAGGGATCCCGACGAGGAGGGCATTGCAATAGTCCAACCTGGAGGAGACAAAGGCGTGGACCAGCTTCTCAGCATCACAGAGGGAAAGAGAGGGGCGGAGTTTGGCAATGTTTCTTAAGTGAAAGTAAGCAGTTTTGGAGATATGTTGGATGTGTGGATGAAAAGTGAGGTGGGAGTCAAACCTGACACCGAGGTTTGTAACACAGAAGGAGGGGGTGATGGTATGACCAGAGAAATTAATGCAGTTTACAGACAGGGAACGAAGTTGGTGGGGGGTGCCAATTTGTAGAGCCTCTGTTTTAGTGCTGTTTAGCTGGAGAAAGTTTTGAGACATCCACGCCTCTATCTCCTCCAGGCAGGAGGTGAGTGCAGCGGGGGTGGATGAGGGAGAGGCTGGGTCCAGTCTCACATAGAGCTGAGTGTCATCGGCATAGCTGTGGAAGGACATGCCATGCCTGCCGATGACGTGGCCCAGGGGGAGCATATAGATGTTGAAGAGGGTCGGCCCAAGAACCGACCCCTGTGGGACTCCACAGGAGACAGTGTGAGTCTGGGATTTAGACTCCCCCAAGGCCACATACTCAGCTCTATCAGTGAGATAGGACCCAAACCATCTCAGAGTGGTGCCAGAGAGACCAATTATAGTATGAAGGCGATGAAGGAGAATTGAATGTTCTATGGTGTCGAATGCTGCTGTGAGGTCCAGGAGAAGGAGTAGTGATGGAAAGCCCTGGTCAGAGGCCAGCATGAGGTCATTGGTGACTCTGACCAGTGCTGTTTCTGTGCTATGGTGCGATCGGAAACCTGACTGGAATTTTTCGTAGAGGTTATTGTGTTTCCAGTGGTCCTGAAGTTGGGCGGAAACAACCTTTTCCATGACCTTTGACAAGAAAGGGAGGTTCGAGATGGGGCGGTAGTGAGCCAAGATGTCGGGGTCCAGAGATGGTTTTTTAAGATGAGGCCGAATGATAGCTGTTTTTAGTGTGGGTGGGATGTGGCCGCTCTGAAGGGACTGATTTATTATGGCAGTGATAAGTGGGCTTAATGCAGAGGCATTGGATTTGATCAGAGGGGTGGGGAATGGATCAAGGGGACAAGAGGAGGGCCGCATTTTACGCACAGTTCCCTCAACTTCTCTCTCAGTAGCATTGGTGAACTGAGAGAAGCCACCTCCTGAGTCTGCTACTGCGCAGCCTCGGATGAGGTTGCCACTAGCAGAGAGTGAGGTACGGATCTTGTCTGTCTTAGAGGTGAAATGTTCCATGAATTTATTGCACTCGTGTTCTGACTGGTTATTGCATATATAGCATAGCACCAGCCCCTCACTGATCCACCTGCAGGTGGTGAGTCCACAGGAGCTGAGATGTTTCAGCAGGGGCTTCAGGCAAAGTCGGGTTAAATGTCTTGCCCAAGGACACAACGACAGTAGACATTAGTGGGAGCCGCATCAAACAAGAATTATTTTATGGTTACTTTGTCTAAAAAACTCCTACACTGGACATGCAGTAATGAAGGAAACAGACAGAAACAATATAGAAACACATTTACCATATTTCACATAATGTCCGTTCAATGTGGAGACATGTATTTGTAGTGCTCATGTGACAGTACAGTTTAGACACACACAACCAACCCTAAAAGAATAGGGAAAAGAGAAAGGGAGGGAGGAAGTAGAAATACAGGAAGCTAACAGGTAAACCACTAATGATCTTTAAGAGAAGTCAAAAGAACTAATAAGAAAAAAAGAAGACATGGAAAGTAGTCGTGTTATTTAAACTAGCCTCAATCCTAGTTTTAGTATAGATCTGTCACTGCGGTAGTCTTGATAACAGTGACGAGCCTAAATGATTGCCTCATAGTTGGTTTGTGTGGAATGAAGGTATTTGAGTGGTTCAAAAATAGACACAAAGTATTAATGGCCAATCGTTGCAATAGCACTGTATGCTTGCTTTGTTTGCTTTTTTACTACTTTATCACATTAAAGTGGGAGTATTTAAAGATATATAGAAAGATTGTTCCCAAATTTTAGGAAAAAACCGCCCTCTCCACTTTTTGAAAAAACTCTGGTCTTGTTTGATTGACAATAAGGCGGACCAATAGTCTTGATGATCCACCCAGAAGTTGAAAATCTTCCTGTATACCTTCAACTTTTTTGTTTCCTAAATATAGTTTGTTTGTCTCAACTGAAAAAAGTCTTGTTTGAGTCACATTCTATGAGCGAGGCAGAACTCGGCTGCCGTTATCTTATGAGTTAACATGTTATCTGGTACATACTGAGAGCTGATAGGCTGAGGCTGAGTGAGGACTAGTACTCTACATGCCTGGGAAAACGAGCGATAGACCCGAACTGCTTACATGGATTTGACTACGTAGCAATTTAGTGGGGTTTCAAAGTTGTCAAGTTCAGCTTAAACAAGTGAGAAAAAAGACCTTGCATTTGTTGCAGCATCCACGGCATAATCTGAAACTTAATATAATAGTTTAGATTTCGGTGTTTGATAGCAGTGAATACAGAAACACAGTAGAAAACAAGGGAAAAGTCCAAAGCTTGATTCTGGGAGATCAGACAGACACTCCACCTGTCCTCGTCTGCTCCTGATCAAAGCCCAGAGACCAGCACTTTTATCTGAGCCAACCCTGCTTTTTGCTTTGGAGATGAAATGAAGAGTGAATGTTGATCATAAAACACAAGGATTCAAGAGAAGATGTGGGTTTGTTTTGTTTGGAATGGATGGTTTTTACAATGTTTACCTCAAAGCAACACAGCGTGGAGCAGTAGTTTGTTACTAGATTTATATGTATTCAATTTAATGTATTTTTGTATTGCCCTAAATCACAACAGCAGTCGTCTCATTGAAAGCAAGTATTGAAAGCACAAGTTTTCTTCTTCCTACTCTTTTTTGAGCAAAACTCTTAATAATAAGGATATACAGTATGTTGTACAGATCCTCCCAGTACCTGTTTTGTTTGGTTCTTCATTCTCTTGTTGTCCATGTAAGTGGGTACCATGCTTTCTGTATGGTGCAGCATGTTATGATTTTGTATTGTTCAAAATAAAGTATTTCAAAATCAAATTCAAACCTTCAACAGATCAGAGAATCAAAGAATACACAAGAGATGCAATAATAGTGAAAACATAGGGAGCGGGATGACCAATGTCCGTGGTTGTCCTGAAATATCCCAGACCATTGGCAGAAAAATATACTTATAGACCTTAGTATCAGAAGAAGTTTAGTTTAGATAGACACACACACACACACACACACATGCACACTCAGACAATACACAGGCCCAAACTCTCTCTGACCCTACAGCTCTCTCCCATCACTCTCTGTCTTCCACATTTTTCATCAGTACTTCTCACTTAAACGTGGCAGAAACACTGGGGTAGTCATGCACAGTTTTTCCAATGGGGTTTTACAGCAAATGGCAAATAAATTCTTAACTCTTAAATCTTGAATCCAAACAGTTTTTAACCCGTCCACTAGTTTATTCCAACGAGTGGCTCCTTGCACTGAGACACACATGACGAGCATCTCTATCATGGAATAAATGTTTATTTTTCTGACCTAATCCAGCGATGTGAATAAGAATGTACTCTTGATGTCTTGTACGGTTCAAACAGGAAAACAAAGGATTGAATACATCATGGCCAATTCAGAAAACTCATTTCAAAATCACATTCAAATGTTTATGTGCACATTTTTCAGTCTTTCTCCGTCGCAGATAAAGAAAGAACTCAACCTCTCATATTTACATTTTGGCTCACCCCCGCCTCTGTTTCCCCAAGTAGAGAAGTACTCTGCTAGAGGCACTAGCAGCAGCGAGAGAGGAGAGGAGAGGAGCTAGCATTTATTGGATTAGGATTGCATAGTCGTGGGATTCCTGCAAATTATTCATTGTATTCCAACGCCTTAAAGTCTAATGTGACATCTGCGCAACCTCTACATTTGACTGAGCAAGAATTAGGGAGTTCAGAATCTGCTGCCAAAGTTTGTGTGAGGTTTGGCTCCAAGAATCCTGTGTAGTATTGATTAAAACTCACTCACTCCCTCAGTCCTCTACGGGTGTGTACGCTTCTGCTTTGAAACTTAGATTAGCGCCATTAGCATCAGCTGAGGTCGTAGGTTTTTGGTGTTT